TTTTTTTTTTTTTTTTTGTGATATCAAAGTATGTGGATTGACTGTAAATAAGAAACTATGAATTAAACTAATTGTTTCATGCAGATATAATCGGCCATAATTTTCTTACAGTGGGTCAAAAATGTAGTCAAACGTTTTAACATTAAAAAACCAAAAGAGTTGTAGAACAATATGTAGAGGGAATTTTATACTCATTTTTAAATAAGCTTTTGAGACATCAATGGATGAAGTAAAAAGTTAAAATGCTTTTGAGAAATGTGGTATTTTTCCATTTGATGATGAAAACGTTGAATTTAATAAAAGCATTCAAGACAGACACAAAGATTTAATGACAAAGAAAGCTTATCAACAAAGCACATACTTCAAGTGTAACGATTCACAATTTCTTCAGAAGCTTGTGAATGAAATCTCTCAAGATATGTTGCAAATTTTTAAAAGAACATTGACAGAAGAGCCGAATCTCCCACATATTGAATAGCCTGTGTTTTTTTTTTCTATGTGGAAGAATTTATTGCATAAAGAACATTTTGTTAAGTTAAACTGTGTCACTGAAGCTGAAACACCTAATATTGATAATGAATGTATCTTGAAAACTAATTTTGAGATAGTCCTCTTGATGCATTGTTAGTCGAAAAAACTATTGATTCTATAGGTAATATAAGTCAGAAAATAGTTAGTACTGCTAAAGACCCACTAGAAATAAGTCTCTTTATGTGGTCTTTCCAGTGGAATAACATTTGGTTTTTGAATGCTTATAAAATAGATCTATTGATTTTTTAAAACATTGAAACATTCTGCTACATTTTTGACCCACTATGCTATACATTTTCGTGTAATAATTGTTTTTATCAATTATTGTTGTAACTTTGTGTGATTTTTTCCCTTCTTTTTTATCTTACTCTAAAAATTTTAACTTTTATTTTATTGTTATTTTTAGATCCCGATATTCTGTGTGCTTTTGGAACATCACATGTAGTGACAATGCTTCTTCCTTTAATATTTGCTCATTTAGGACCTGTTGCAACATCAGATCCCAGAGTATATTTTTATTTTATTTTTTTAAATCATAAAAAATTTTGACGTTTTCAAAGGTTATTTAATTTTAAAGTAGGGATAGAGTTTGTCTAGGTTTTTATGAGAGGTACTATTTTGTGAAAATTTGGACAATTAATAAAAATTATATTAAAAATTCAACACAAAAATATGGTAAATTAAGAAGATATTTTCAAAAATTGTTACTACAAATAAAAATCATTCATGACTGGTAAATTTTTATATATTTTTCTGCATATATTCAAAAATAATGTTACTATTGCAAAATTTTGGGCTTAAAATTATATCAAAATTTAAAAATCCATAAAAAATGTTGTCCATTGTTAAATTTCAACTTGAATTTTTAAAAAAAATAAGCATGCATTTAACAGTACTTACACTAAAAGTTATTTTCATTATGAGTTTTTTTCTATATGACCCCATTTCCCATGGGGTCATATAGAAAAAAGTTTCATAGACAAAAAAAAATTTTATGAAAAATAAAGGTCTGTTAGAATAAATTTAGAACTATGTTCGAATGCGTAGAATAATGTTCGCATTTCAACTTCTAGTGAAGTTTACGGAGGGAACGCCTCGTTGTTTAATTTTTTTAAAAACTCTGGGAGAAAAAATCTTACTATAATATGGCGTAAGCGTCTTGTTAGGCTACCACATCGTACTATTTGACCAAGCATGTGCTACCTATTCGTATATGCTTAATCAACCCAGGATTTATCGTTTCTTACGGGGATACAAAAACAAAATTTTAAGAGGCAGTTAGGAGAATCTTAGAACTTGCTTTTTTAATTTGAGAAACTACAGTTTTTCCTAAAGTTGAATTTGTGAAGGTACCGCTAAATGGTAGTAAATTTGTCCTAGACAGATCCCTGCTTGAAAGAATTATTTTTAATACATTATTTTTTACATTGCCAAATAATTTGTTTTACTTTTTATTGTGCTTAAGAGGATGCTATACAACAGAAGAAAAATTTCCTTGCAAATTCGAAATTTTCCTTCATTTCTAATTTAAATTTTTAAGTGTAGAAAAAGTGAGTTCAGACAAACCTAGAGTAAGCCACAAATTATCAAATGCCAAAAGGAAAATTTTAAAATACGAAAATAAAATAAAAATTCGAGAAGATAACTTCGGATTACGCAACAGTTAAGTTCTCCTCTAATGATTTGTTTTCAATTTAATATTTTTAAGTATTTTTTTCAGCTATAGAAACTCCATAACTTATTATAAATATGCCCGAACTTACTTTTTCTTTTTAAATTAGTGATGTAGGATAAAGAGAATTTGTAACAAAAATTTTCTTCCACAGTATAGCGTTCCCTTAATGCATGTATAAAAAATAGTGTGTGCTCAGATATTTCAATACCAGAAATTAATGAATAAATTACTAAATATTATTCATTAAGGCATTTTTTTTAATATGAAGACATTAAAATTACAAGGGATTGTTGCTGGGTCATTCTCACTGAAAAGGTATAAATAGACTAAAACAATTTCTTAAATTAAAGTAAATAAAAAAGTGATAAAAATTACATAAATGCCTTTATTTATTTTTGTTATATGTCCTTATAATAATGGTCAAGTTTTCTATTTTATTTTTTACAAGATTTAAAATATTTTGAATTCTGCCTTGTCCACGGAGGAGATGTAATAGTCAACGGAGGAGACATTTTATGTTATAAAATATAAAATGTCAATGAAGACTAATTCATTAATTATTGGGCACAACTGATATGAGTTTAACATTAATAAGTAAATAATAAAATATTTCATTATTAGAGATAGAGCTACTTCCGATTAATCATGCTGCTATGAAAGGAAACATCCATTTTTAACCTAGGTGTACAATTTCTTAAGTAACTCTTACTGAATATTAATAAATTAAAATGTAAAGACTATTGAAATAAAAATTCAGACTCCACATGAAAGTTGAGTGTTGAGGGTACTCTTTTGTGACCATTTTATGCAAGTTAAATCATACTGTCATCCAAATAACGTTTTTGTTTTTTCTCTTTTCTTCTTGTAATTGTTTCTTTTTTCCCTGGGCACAAACAGATAGCTCTATCTATTTCTAGAAATTTAAGTACATTTAATCACGATTTTTCTGTTAAATCTTCTTCTGATACAAATTTTAAAGTTTCTTGCTCTTTTTTCTTTTCTTTTTTTTAACTTTCTTCAAACAATATAGGGTTTTCCTTTAATTTCTGTCTAGTCTGTATTTCTGTCTTTGTTCTCATACTAAGTTTTTTCTGTTCCCTTCGATTTTGCATTTGAACATTTGATTGCTTTCTTTTCTTAAATTTTGGTTTTGCAATTTTTTTCCTAAAATTTGAAGAGAAAAAAAATGTTAAACACCACAGAAATTATTTAGAAAAATTGCCAATACTTACTTCTCCGATAAGAAAAGTTAAACTTAATTGATTTTCTTTAAAAATAGAAACAAATTAACACATTTGTTCCATTTTAAAAAATATCAATTAAAAGAAAATAGTTTTTTAATTATTAAAATTGTATTATGGTTATCTAACACATTGTCTCTTACATTGACTGTGTCTTCTCCTCCGTGGACTTGTTATGTCCACGGAGGGGACGTCCACGGAGGAGACAAAAACTAGTTCTTGAATTTTTCTGATTTTTAATTTTAAAGTTACAAAAATGGGGCAGTTCTTTTTGTTAAATATACTATTTTTGCAATCTAAAATTCATCTATCAAAAATAAAATAATTTTCTCTTACCTTCTTTATGATGTCCACGGAGTATACGGTGAGAACTTTGCCAAACCCCAGTTGAACACAACAATCCAAAACTGACACCAAAGAGAACAAAAACAACTGATATTTAACATTGAAAATGAAATGGTTACCCCTCCCAGCAGCTGTCTTATAGGGATTTCGCATATGCTGCCCTTTATTGCATATTTACAGAACTATATTAATTGTCCACGGAGGGAGACATCATTTTTGATGAACAAAGTTTACTAGTCATTTATTTTATGAAAATAAATTTTTTTTAAAAAAATATTAAATAAAAAGTTACTATAAACATTTAACTAGGTAAAACTACAAAAATCATTAAAATAACATTTAAATTGTTTAACAGGCATTAAAAATTATTTTGTGCCACAGACGTAGGGACGTCCACGGAGGGGATTTTGAAGTCATGTTTATTAAAAAATAAGAATGAAATATTAAATACATTTAGCAGAAATGCATATGATTTGTTAGTTAAGAACTTCACGAAAAATGATAAAGAAAAATATTAAGAAATCTGCTGTATTTCCTAATATTTATTACTCATGGACTGAAAAAATCACCTTTTTGTGAGAATGACCCTGCTACGCTTTAGTCATATACTAATTTTATGCTTTATATACTTAACAAAGTTTTATTAACATTGTTGATTTATATAAACTATAACACTTTAACCCTCTTACTGCCATTAATAGACATTCAAATTTTTGATTTCACTATGTTTACAACATTATCTGTTTACTGATTAATGTACTTTCATGGTCTGTATGAAAATGGTCTAATAATAACTAAATAACTATGGCGAATAATGCAACAAAAGGAACTATTTAATAAAAAATAGTTTTATTATAAATTCTATAACATATCTTTTTATTTTTATTATGACAGCGTGATTTATTACAACATAAAAATTACGAAGCTTCATCTCCTCAAAATATATATCTCCCTCTTATGCATTTCATTTAATAAAGTTTAGAATTAATTGATATTTTTAAGTATTAAGATTTTTTTTGAGGCACTGTGCACTAATTGCTTATAAAATTTTAAACTTAAATATTTTCTTTACTTATTAATTACTGCAACACTTAAACTATCAAACTAGTTAGGCAAAACATATCTTTGTCTATCAGCAGTATTTATAATAAAATTCACTGAAATATGTATGTGATTAACGCTTGAAATTTTTTTTTATTTTTAGAGTGCTGTTCAAGTGCTAATTATGGTTCAAAGTTTGCTTCCCCTTGTGGCAGCTCTGAATAAAAAAAATCCCAAACCTTATTCTGAAAAATCTGATGCAGATCGCAATGACTCTAGTTTGTCTACCACATCCAGTCACTATGCTATTGTTGAATCTGATCATCCCTATCGACCAGCCTCTGTTGCTCATTATAGGGTAAAAAAAAAATTTAAATTCTTTTTTTTTTTGCTGAGACAGCATATGCATTTCTTGGATTTCATTTTAATTTGTATTTTTTTCTTATGTATTTTGAAGTCAACGAAATCAATATCATAATTTCTATTCTAATTGTTGTTAATAGAATGTGAGAAACAAACCTTTAAACTTTAATGCACTCATTACTTGGTTAAATTACGGCTATTGACTAATTTGTTGATTGTTATTTTAGATATTGAACATTAAATCTATGGAATTGTGTTAATTTCCTTGATTTTAATAATGTTTTTAACCATTTGAATCTTTGTATTGGAGTTTTTAATGTGATTGATTCTATAAATTAATGTGTTGATTGTAGAAACTTGATAACTATCAAAAAATTAATAAATAATGACGATTTTTAAGTGTACAAAATTATTTGTTCCAGCAAATCTCTTATTTTCACTTTAATGAGTTCCTAGTACAGAGTTGCCAACTCTACTGGATCTTCCAGTAAACTACTGGATTTTGCCAGTTTCTTCTTCTGGTCTACTGGTTTAATTAAAATTCTCCTGGTTTTTGTAAATTTTAGAAAACTCCCTAATATTGAGTAAGTTTCCTTAAAAAAACCTTATTGAAATAGAATTTTTGTGCACATTATTGTTTGCTTGAATATCTAAATAAGTATTACCTGTACATAATGAAGCAAGCCTCATTTATAGAAATCTGTTTGATTTTTTTTTTCCTATAATGTTCCGTTTATTTTTATTTAAAACTCTCTTTTTAAATTTTTTAACAAGATCTTTTAACTATCTTTGATAAATTAAATGCCTGTTAATATTCGAAATTATGAATAAACATAATGCAAAACATTTCAACTATGTTTGATGTCAATCATAACTGGAAAATATTATAGTTTTTCTATTTTGATGACTATAATAATCCGTAAAATTCCCTATATGTGAAATATTTATTAGATTATGCAACAATTATCATGAAATTTATGTTATTTCGTAAAATCTACTGGATTTTTTCCTATCCACGTTGGCAACTGTGTTAGTAGGTAATGTGTACATAAGTAAGAAGCTTTAGTAGTAATTTAAACACTTAATATTGCAGGTTACTTTTCCACCTAAAGTTCAATGGATTTCTTTAGAATTTGATCCACAGTGTGGTACAGCTCAAGTAGAAGATACTCTTCAGGTTTATATACCTAGTAAAAACAATAGTGGATCTGTGTGGCTGAGTAGTGCCCAGACTATCAATATTGCTGGTTCATCTGAATCAGATGAGGACCAGTTTGCACCTTACTGGCCTGTATTCAGAAAGTTTAGTGGAAATTTTGATTGGCCCACTACTGCTCTCCTGCTGCCTGGTAAATTATGTTTTGCTTTTTTACCTCTACTACCATAATTTGCTTACTTTTTGAAAAATTTCATGATTTATGCTAGATTTACCTTAACTATTTTTTATAAATTACTTATATAGAGGATTGTTTTTCACATTTGCCTAGGAAATTTCTTTTTAGCCTTTGGGGTTCAGCTAAGAGAAGATCATTCATTTAGGGTTCTGTAGCTGAAATATCAGCATTCCATAACAAAAAAACTGCTGAACTGGATCATTTGATAATATGTATAAACAGTATATTTCGAATTAACAGTATTGTTATAAGATATATTAACAGTATTATTATAAAATGTATTAACAGTATGTAGCTACAATAGTGTTTTTCTTACTAAAATGTTTCAAATATTATTATTTTAATTAGTACGAACTAATCACAGAATAAATAAAATCGTGGTTATTTTTGTTCAAGCTAGGCATCCAAAAATTTTGAAAACAAGGAGTTGGACGAAACTTTAATTATCTATGAAATCAACTTTAAAAATAATCATGCCCTAAAGAATAAGGCAGATTTTAATTACGCCATAATCTTCCTTAATTCTGAAGGCATAAACAGATCTTATTATGAGAGTTTTAAAAAATGGTACAAATTTCTCATTGACCTTTTCTTCGCTTGAGGAAGATTCCTGCTATTAGTTCACACTCTCTCTATATCTTGTTCAAATTTTCAATTGTTAATAAAATACTTTTTATTCATCCACTCAAATTCAAATAAATTTTTTTAGACTTGTTTTGTTTTTAATGTTTTCACTATCCTCATTTGAACTGAAAACAAATTGTACTTGTCTCAAAAATCCTTTCTCTAAAATCTTTTATCCCTGGTTGTAAGCACAAAAACAAATGTTTTTATTAATTTTATAATAAAACTCTGGATTGTGATTCTCGTTGCAGTAAATTCAATGATTTTTGGAAATTCTGCTGCTTTTCTAACGTTATTTAAAAAGATTAAACGCCCATGGTTCCATGACAGAAGTCTATCCAGGCCGAATTTAGCTTTTATTTTTGTATCCCTTAAACGATAAATTTATATTTTTACCATACTTTTGTGTTTGTCTTGTACTATAATTTGTAATTTTTAACAAATTATGTCTAAATTTTCAGGAAAAAAGTACCTATCAGAAAAACCTAGACAGACTCGTGCATGATGTATCCTGTAAATCTCATCCCACACTATCTTTGAATTAGAATGATTCTTTTTTTTCCCCTTTCAATTTTTAAATTCTGGAACATAACGGATGATTCCCTACCTTCCATCTCAATTTTAAGAAATTGTAATAACTGTGTTATGTTAAACCTTCTAATTTCGTGATTTAATCGTTTCTACTAAATTCAAGTGATAATTATCTCTTATTAATTTTATTAAAATAGAATACAGTAAGTACACTCAAGAAGTGGCAACTCAAGGATTTTAAATTATGAGTTTGAATCTCACTATTATTAAAATTATTTATATGAATCACTATTATTAATCTGAATATAATTTCCTGAATACCCAAACATTATTGGTACCATTGACAGGGTAAAAAATTTAGTAGCTTATTCATGTGGGCATTTATTATAAAATTGTTTCTTTCAAATCCTTGTTTTAATAACTTAAGAGCTTCTTCCTAGTTTTTCTTTGTTGATGGAAGCCCTTAATAACATTGGCTGCAATGCAACCCGTCAGTGATTTCAAATAGGCGAATTTGTCAATTGGATTATGAATCATTTTTATTAAGTTATGATATTTATTCAAGAACTCTAACAAACATCATGAATCACCAATATATTTATCAATATTTAGTTTTGGCCGTTTTATTTTCTGAATTTTAAGAGTGGATGAAACAGCAACACTATTTTTTTCATTAGATTGAATTCTATTATTTTTATTTACTTCATTCCTTTCAATATCTACAAATTATTTTTAACTATGTGAACAATTTTACATTCCACAACATTAATGTCTGACTGGAATTCACCGTAGAATCAACTTTTCTCTTAAATTCTTTTTCATCAATTATGAAGTTGAATTAGAGTATCTAATTCTTTAATTTGTTTAGAACTATCAGGAGGATAGTTTATGCTTTGATCTAATATTTTTTTACTGTCTAACTGTTTGAAATTGGTTTCTAATTTAGTCAAAAATCTTGTTGATTAGAGTCATGCCTCTTATATTTTTCTGTTTTATAAATTGATCCATGTTCTTTCATATCATGCTCCAAAAGTATTCAAAATATTTACCTTCTAATATCAACACTATTTATTAATGTTTATCCAGCAATACCTAATTTTTAAAATAATCATAACTGTTTTATGAATCTGAAATATATGCTCTTCTAATTCAACTTCAAAATTATTATCAAATTCTACACTGTTATAAATAATTCTACAATTTTTTATGTAGAAGAGTATTTTATAGAAACAAAATAATGTCAGTCGAAATTCAATGCTTCATACACCAAAAAGACCATTATGCAATTAAAGAATAATGCATTGGTGGTTCATTAATAAATACAAAAGTCACCCAACTTGAAAATATATCAAAAATTTTATAAAATAAATATAATGAATTGAGATGACATCTTTTCTGTTGACAACTTGAGCATTGTATGAATAAGCATGCATGAATGAAATAAAATAAAATTAAAACATGGTGCGCAGCATTTTTAAAAAGTGCTTATTTTCGATTTTCGTTTTTTAAAAAGCCTTTAAGGCCTTGTGCTTTTTTCATTTAAAAAGTGCTTAATTTTCCCTTTTCGATAATGAGATTTTTTTTCTTTACCGTGTCGATTTTCGACACGTATTATGCAAAAGCTCTCTTTTCACATTGTTCTATTCAACGTTTTCGCAATTCAACCACAATCTATTTCGGCTTACCGTCGCACCATAGCATATGAAAACGCCAATCATTTGCAACTCTCATGTGCAAGTCTGCTGCATTTTGCAAAATATTCTCAATTTCAGGCTTCATTTTCCACCCTCTGATATCTAACCGAAAAATATCTCGATCATTTTATAATGGCTAATATAATCAAGAAAAAGAGTTCTTTGTCAGAAACTAGGTATTTTATCATGATCATGTGAAGTCTGAAAATTATTTTGCATTTCGTTAATGTCTATAGTGCTTAAAAATATATTTTGAGTGCTTAAAAGTTGCTTATATTTGGTTGAAAGATTTGACTACGCACCCTAAAAAAGCAATTTTATATGATGTCTACTCTCTCCTGTGTATTTTAGGAAATGAGGTTGTGTTTTCCCTGGAGACAGCCTCTGACTATGTGAAAGATGAGAAGGCATGCTTCTATGGTTTTCGATGTCAAGTTGTTGGATTTGAGTGCCCTAGAATTGCATCTGGTAGCAACATAGAGAGTTGGGAAGGACTAAAGCACCTGGAACGGGAACTTGCATACTTAGGTGGAATGTGTGCTGCATCCCTCATGAGAAGAGATCTTATTCTTCCTCCATGTTAGTAGTTATCCTCATAAATAATGATTTATGTGCATTTCAGTACATGCTTTCTTACTATTTTCCTTCCTTCACAGCATCATTTGGAGAAATGGAAGAAGATTTAGAACTTATTGAAGAGCTTGCCCAACAAGTAAAATATATTTCTGTTCGATTTATTTTTTCCAATCTCCTTTTGAGATTTAGAAAAATATCAGGGGTCTGTCCAGGGCAAATTTACTACCGTTTAGCGTACCTTCACAAATTCAACTTTAGGAAAAATGGTAGTTTCATAAAATGATTTTGACAAAGCTAAGATTCTCCCCACCTCTTAAAAATTTGTTTTTGTATTCCCGTAAGATACAGTAAATCCTGATTTAATTAAGGAAATACTAAGCGGTAGCATGTGCTTGGTCAGATAGTGCAGTATGGTTAGCATAACCTGTCGCTTATGCCATATTAGAGCGAGATTTTTTATTAAATATGAGGCACTCCATCTGTAAACTTTACGTGAAGTTGAGCATTATTCTACACATTCGAACAGTGTTCTAAATTTATTCTTACAGACCTTTAATTTTTTATGAACAATTTTTTATCTGTGAAACTTTTTTCTGTATAACCTCGTGGGAAATGTTCTCCCAATTATTGAAAATATTTTTTTATTTTACCATATTTTTGTGTTGATTTTTTAATATAATTTTTAATTTTCACAAATTATGTCTAAATTTTCACAAAATAGGTGCCTCTTATAAAAACCTAGACAGATCCCTGAATAAACATTTGATTCCCACTTAATAATTGGGAAAAAAATTTTATCACATAATGAAAAAATTTACTTAATAATTTTCCCCCTCCAAAAAATGTTTGATTACTAAAAACAAAAATCAAAGTGCAAAAACTGACTGATTTAGTGCCAAAAAGTGCTAAAATAATATTGCTGAAATGAAAGAAGCAGAAAATAAGTTTTTGTCACAGATTTTAAAAGTATATTTTCAAAGATGATGGCTTTTGAAATATTACTAACATAAATAAATAGAGTCTATGTTTCCAATTATCAACTTAATGAATTTCTCATCAAATTAACATTAAATTGTGACATTGTAATGTTAACTATGTTTTTAGATTGTACCATAAAAAAGATTGGGTAAATAAAACCCTTTAATTCTGTTGGAGGTGAGACATGCTCATTTATCTAAAAGAAGTTATCAGGCTCAAGATCAACCCTCAGAGCATTATTTTTTTTTTTTTTTTTTAACTTTCTTAAAACTGCTTCTTAAAGCAAAATTGAGAATTTGTCAGTTGTAACATTTTTAAGCTTGGTTACTTCTTTAAAAATAGAAAATTTTAAATCATTAAAGAAAATATATAAATTTTTTTTTTGATTCAGTTCACTCAATTCAGCATTTCTAGGTCATTCATTTTATTTTATTTTTATATTCGTCATTGAACAGCCAACCCAATTTTTTAGTTTACGACTACTAATGTTCAACTCTGTAGTCTTGTCATTTTGAACTCTGTAGTCTTGTCATTTTGAATCTTGCCAAGGAAACTCCTGGATCCGTACCCCCAGTGGTATTGATTTGTTATGGGAACATGGAGGGCTTTGTGACTCGACAGATTTAACATGCAACAGTCACCATTTACTACACAGGGAGTCTTTGGCCGGCCTGGGATTGAACCCACGAACTCTTGGATATAAGCCCAGTGCCCTACGACCAGGCTATCCCGACCTTTAGTTCATTCATTTCAAGTCTTTCTAATTTTTGTGGCATTAAGTTTGCATTTTGTTTTTTTTACGTCGAAGAAAATTTTAATCTCTATTTAATCATTGACGTCTGAGTTAATGGAACTATAATGTTTGCTTTTATTTGACATAATTATGCAAATATTTTTGGGCTCAGTCTCAAAAAGTTTTATAGATAGTGACTTGGATGAAGTTAAGATTGAAAATCTTTGAACAGGAGTTATCCGAAAATGAGCCAGAATTCATTTCTAGTTACTATTCCCTCTCTTTCCCACAGTAAAGGAGATAATCAGAGTTCCACTTTGGTTAAGAAATGTCTGAAGATGCCAACATCCAGCCGCCTTAGGGGGGAAGGTGGAAAAAAGAAAGGGCTCCGTATAACAGAAAAGTGACAATAAAAAAATACAAAATCAAATACCCCTCGCCAAGCACAGGCAGCCCCTTAAATAAAATGTTACAAACAATTTACAGTTAGAAAAATTAGAAGTTACGATTAAATAAGCAACAAAAAGGTTAAAGTATTTAATATTTTGGATAGTTACGGTTAACAGAAACAACAAAAAATGCAGAGGTAAGAGGTCTCACGTGTATAGATCACAAGAGCCGATGCACTTGCTTTTCTACGAATTTAAGGGGAGCAACATTCCAGTCCACTTCTAAAAGGGAAAGTGTAAAAAAATACCAAATTAACTCAAGGGACTATATGCTTTTTGAGCTCTGAAAATAGTGAGTGACCCAATGTCACAAAATGTCTTAGTTATCAGAAAGTATTTCATTGTATGGGTTTCTTTTTTAGGTGTACAAGAATCATTCAGTACTTCTTTCCAAGGGTTTTGCTTTAGCTCATCCTCCAAGTATTGATCAAGCTCTCGAAGGAGTGTTACCTTATAGCAGTCAATCCAACGAACATGCTTTTCTCAAAGATTTTGTTTCTTGTGCTCAAGGTACTAGTGGAGGAAGGCTAGCCAGGTAATTATTATTTTTTACCAATTTATGTTCATGCATTGCTAGACTTCATAATAATACATTTATAAATACATTTTTTTAACCTATTGAATTTAACTTTGTTCCGAGTGAAAGGAAAGAGCCTGAATTCTAATGCAGTTGTTTAATACTTTATTTTACTGCATGTGAAAAACATTGAAGAACTCAAATGCAAAGATATAAGATTTTTCATATAAAAATAATAATTTCTATGGGGAAGAAAAACTGAACTCTTTTTAAAATTAATTAAATGCTCACAGCTTAACATTAAAATTTAAATATTATTTTTTTTGCCGACCTTTTCTTCAAATTATTACTTTTGTAGTAATCAATAATTATAGAGTCAAATCTCCTGGTGAAAATTATTGGGAGGAGTTTGAGGACTTCAAATTCGTATCGAATCCACTCTTCAGCTTAAAGGCTGTTCTATTCGTCATAACTGTAAACATTAAGATTAAATATTTCTTATTGATTTCTGCTAAATAGTGAGCACTATTTGAATATTCCATAAATATATATTACTACTGCATTGCTTTTATGTCTTTTAAATTCATACTTGTCCCTGCTAATTTGTTGCAAAAAGAGTCTGGACAAAGAAAAATAACATTTTATCTAGTAATTTTGGCAATTTTAATTTAAACTATTGTCTAAAGAGTAGATGATTTAATGATCAGTGCTGTACTTCCAACTTATTCTCCTCCAAAAAGAAAGTTGACTCAAAAAATTTCTTTTACTTTTGCTTTTGATTCTTATGGTGAGGATATTAAAAATTTATTTAAAAAAAAGTTTACGGATCAGATGGCCAAAAGGATGAAACATAAAACATCAAAATTTAGAAAAGTTAAATTTAAAATTGTAGTGGTGAAACAAAGCGTGTTCCAGAAGGTCCAACAAAACACATAAGATTGAAAAGCATAAACACTGAAGTTAAAAATAAATCATTACTCACCTGTTACTGTCAAATTAAACAAAATAAAACTGGAGAACATTTTACATTAACTGAAACATTTATTTTGTTGAGCTTCATCACAAAAATCAATACATAAACAATAAGATAATTGTCACATGAAAGTTGCCACTACTGTAATCCCAGGGGGGGGGGAAAGTGTGACAAAGAAAAATTAAATGATTTCGATCAATTTATGATGACATCACATATCCTCGCTTTTTATGTTAAAAGCTTTTGCGAAAATGGTTGGCTCGGAAATAAATATGCACCTAGTAAGAGTTTAAGCATTAACTTAAAAAATAAGCCAAATTTGGTAAGATAAGGGGTCAAAAGGAATGCCAAAAGTGGGTCTGCTAAAGGGGTGATGCAATACAAAGAATGTTCCAGAAACTTCGGTTTTCACTGACAAAGGATTAAAGTTACCTGAAGGTCAGAGACGGACTGCAGGTGTTAACATTTTTGGGGGAGCTGTGGACAGCTAAATTACAGTATTCTTAAACAGGTGATGAGATGATTCTCATACACAAAAGATCACACAGTTATTCCCACAAGGAAAAAAATACTTGGTTTCAGATAGTTACAGTACAAAAGCAACATCAAGGGAAACCATTAACAAATAAAGAAATGCCAGGGAAAAAATTGTGAAATAAAATAGGAATATTGTTACAATTCCTTAAGAAAAATTAAACTAAGAATTATTCCAAATAAATAGTAACCATTCAAAATAAAATTAATATTCTAATACACAATTATTTAAATAATAATCAATTCTTTAAAGTATTTAAACCCAATATTGCGGCAGTAATATATATAAAACTAAATAACTTGTTTTACACAATCTAAATTATATTAAATCGGTAGTAATTAAATTAACGTAATGATATTGTTTGCCAAATATTTAACATATGTATATTAATTTGCCAAAATAAAATTTAATGAAATATTTTAATGTCATAAACAAATATTCATATGTGATACCAATACCACAATTCCATGTTTTTTTGTTTTTTTTTTTTTGCTTTTGTAATCTATCAATTAGGAGTCAAATTTAATGAGTTTTCAAGTCGAAGATAATTGAAATGTTTTTCTTGGATAGACAATAATATTTGTTGATAATATTCAATGTTAATTATGTGATACACTGAATTATCTGTATTTTACTTTTTTGTGTATAGAAAAATGCATATTTTATTCCTTTTGATTTATAACTATTAAGCTTTTCTGTTATTATTGGGGGGACTAAAAAGTAATATCATTTGTGACCATTTCAATTGTCATTTATCAGCTCATTGTGTACGTCACACTTTATTTGAAAGACATTTTCAGGTTAGAGTGGCAGGTTGGCCACCAAACTGGAAAACCTTAACAGCTTGGAATTATCAGGGAAATTTTTTATACTGGAAAAAAAACCTGGAAAAGTTAGGGAAATTTGGATAAAAAGTTAGAATATGGCTTCAATTTATATCCAATCTGATTACCAATCTGCATTTACATACCCTCCAACTTATGAGGATTTTGAAAATAATTCTTTCTAGTGGTAGCGAACCAAAGTAGAAATTTTTAAAGCAAATGGATTTCTCATAAAACTTTTATCAGAACTTAAGAATCTAGCCATATGGCATGCACTTATATAAGTAATAGTGGACAAGTTACGCTTAAATTAATTTTTTTAAAATATTAAGACAGTAATTTTGCTACCGTCTGAAAAGAAGATTTCTGAAACTACGGAAATTCCGTAGCAGTTGGAGGGTATGCATTTGTGTCTGACTCTGAAGTAAAAAATTTCAAATTTCACATGTTCAGAACTGCATACAATTTTTTATTCAAATGTCAGCTTCAAAATTCAGTCAAGCTTACATCTAAATTACAAACAAATTCAGAGAGTTTAGACAATTTGTAAATGAGTAATCATTTTTTGCTTTCATGCAATTTATATCTGACAGCAAGAATTTAATCCATTTAATTTGAACTTATAATAATCTGTTTTTATAAAACAAATTGTTTTTTGATTGGTTATGATGTACTAAATATTTAATGTAAAAATTTGATGATTGGAATTCTTTAAATATTCTAATTTCTAATCAGAAAAAAAGGAATAAAATTTAAAGAATTTTTATCTAGTTTCTTTCTATAGGATATGCAACAAGAGATTTGACAATTTTGCCTTTACGAATACTGAATATCTTCTAAACTAATAGTGCTCATTCGATACAAACAACATAATTAAACATTTGACTTATGGTATTGGTTTAAAGAAATTTATTTCAATGAATTTTATAAAACAGCACAGTATAATTTATAAAATACAGTATAAAAGGGCTCTATATTGAAATGTAAATAAATATAAAACTTTATTGATCGCCTGGAATTATTTTCTTTTGCTTAATGAAAATATATTAAACAGTACTTATCCAAGGTTTTTGTATTATGTTTCTTGAACTCAAGTGATTGTTGATAACGTGCATGATTATATTATTGATGAAAATAATAAAAATTTTAAAATCTGATCTGTTATGAGTTGAATCCTAAAAAACCTTCCTTTTTATTAGCCTTTTTTAGAACGTAATGTGATGCAATCCATTAATAAAAATAAACATAAAATGTCCCATTTTTAGGTGGTTGCAGCCAGAATCTTATGTGGATCCGAAGCAATGTGAGCTTTTATGTAGTCAAGATGAGTTAAAGTGTGGTTGGCCAGCCACTATTACTGTCACAACTAAGGACCAATATTGTAAAATTGTACAGGCTCTGTCTCTAAAGGTACATATATGTTACAATTATCTGGAGAATTCATCTATTCATTTGCATAGAATTTGATTAAAACAGTTTTATCAAAATTCAGTACTAAAGGCTTTGATCTAGTGTCATCAGCCCTATTTGTGTTGTAGATGAGGACAATGCAATATAAGTTATTTGTTAGTTTCTGAGGTAGGAATGCTGAACAAAGCATTAAGAAGAAGAAACTTAACGAATGAAGCCCGAATAATGACACAAGTGCTTTACTCTTGAATTAACTCATATTATTTGAATATACAATCACGTGTTATTTCCTAATAAATAAAGGTCAAAAATACTTCTTAATTTACTCATTCTCAAAATAATGTTGGTGATCACGCACTCAATGAATAAAAGGTAGCAGAGAAAATATTGCTTACCTTTGGTTTGTCTTCACTTGTGTTTACTTTAACAGTGTTGTCATACCTGGTTCGACTTACTCGAGATAACTAAGGCATCCTGTAAAAAGGTCAGATTGCCTTTTAAGATAATAATTTATTTTTGAATGAACTTAACTTGCAAGTAAGCGAGCTCTTAACAAGAAGGATCGATGTGTAGTGAAGTGAAACTGAAAAAGCTATGCATTTCATAATTAACAGGGATGAGATTTTTCCGCTTTTTTCACTTTTATCTCTTGAATTTCAGCTTCTTTTTTTTTTAATCAAAAATTCAGATTTTTCTAACATTTTCACTTTTTTTTTATAAGTATTCCGCTTTTTCAGAATATTCACCAATTTTCAAAGAGAAAGAGAAAATTCAAACTACATAGCTACCAATCCTTTCTCATTTTTCCTTATTTTAGCTATTTTCTCCCCTTTTACTCACAGCAGATAAAATTTTCCGAATTTTTTACCCACTCTCCAGATAGATCCCATTTTTGTAGTTCAAACGACACTGCTTCTGACAAGCCTTTTAGAGGTCCCACTCCTGGAATCTGCTAATATCTCGATTCTTATTCACACCATTTTAATATCAAACATAGCTTTTCATATTTGCGTGTTGCGATTCTTATTCACGCGATTTGAGTATTGTACGTTGCGATTCTTATTTACGAGATTTAAATATCCAATATTGTGATTCGTATTTACGCCTTTTTAAAAACCTATGTAGCGATTCATATTCACGCAAGTTAAAAATTCAATGTCTTGATTTGTTCATTCGCTTTATAATATCAAACATTGATTTTCGTATTTATACGTTATTTTAAAATAAGGCATTGGGATTCACATTCACGCATTCTAAGAATTCATGATTCTTATTTATGCAATCTAAAAATTACGCATCATGATTCGTATTTACACGATCTAAAAATTATGAATCGTGATTTGTATTTACGCGTTTTAAAAATTCTATATCCCAGTTTATCTTTTCTCATTTTCAAAATCGTATATCTAGTTTCATATTCATGTGATTTCAAAATCCATAATTGTTATTCATATTCTCGCAATTTTAAGATCTACTATCGCGATTCTTGTAAGAAGTAAATTTTTTTTAATTAGTTACTATAAAGGTGACTGTTTTTCTAACGACGATTATNCCAACTATCGAGAGTACGAGTTTCCCCACTCCTGAACGGACGTCACTCGATAACGACATGTGACGTCATTGCATTCAACTCCACACGAAAGAAGAGGAAGATTTCACCCGCCCCCAGTGTAAGGGGGCGGGTGAAATAGGAGTGTTTTTAGAGGTAACGTTGAAGAGGGGGGAAAATAAAGCATGTTCAGCTACGCTTCAGGCAGATGGTAGTTTGATAAGAGGGGATGGAATTCAAGCTGAAAGAAAAACTTACCTTCGCACTCGCGGAAAAATTAGGTAATTTTGAGTTTGGCCGTCGATCGCAGTAAAATTCGGGAGTTTTTCAAATCAATTCCGGAGGGCGGGAGAATAACTCAAAATTCGGGAGACTCCCGCAAAATGCGGGAGAGTTGGCACGTCTGCTTATGTGAACTGAGGGAAAATATAATTTCAGGCTTTATTTTTTCAATTGGTAGTTTTTATTTTCACTAAATGTTAATTATCAATGTAATCATTTATATAATAATAGATTAATACATAATTGTATGTCAACACATTATTTATTACCTTAAACTGTCTGGAATTTATTATTAAAGGGTTGTGCTTGCGTAAAATTTACTATCGTGGAAATTCAGCTTTTACTGTCTTTTGGCCAATCTCATCCCTGTAATTAAACAGCGCCAACCAGTGGCAGAATTATTGAATTGAAAGATTAGTGATGAAATATATATATTTTATGACAATTAATATGAAACCAAAGTTTGTTTATTTATTATTGTTGAATATTAATTTTCTTGTAAAACTTAGCACAATATACTTTTTTATTGATAAACTATTAACAGAAAAAACTATACTCTATTTCGTATTTTTATCTGAGCTGCCATTCTAAATATTTGTTGCAGGTTGAAGTACTTGCAGTTCCTATGAATATGTACGACAAAGAAACTGAAACGAACAACCAGAGTCGTAAATTAGCCAGAATAAGCAAACCTGAAACTGGGCTGCTAACCTTTGGTGGTCACTCTCCTCCCAATCTAGAAGTTCCTTATGAAATATCAGTGAAAGACAAAATGTTTTACTATGCCATTACAGTAATGAAAGTAAGCTTTCCATTGAGTAATCAATATTTACAAAAGCATTTTATTTTCAGATGTATTAAAGTGTTCAATATTTTAGGAATATGAAAATTATTCTTTTGAGGAACTGCGGTATGTTTCTCCTGCTAAAAAGCGCCTCATTGAAAATATGTTGGTACGTACCAATAATGATGGTACTTATACCGCTAATTGGACTCCTGGGTCTACTGGATGGTATCTACTGAGGGTAGTCATAGATGGATTTGATATTGGTAAGACTCTGATTTTTGATAAAGCTTCAGTACAGTAGAGAACCGATTATCCGGAACGATCTGGACCATCGCTATTCCGTATAACTGATTTTTCCTGTTTTCTGAATCGCTACAAAAAGTCTTTTTTTTTTTTATCAAACTCAACTAAAAAATATATATATATTTAGAATAATTTTCAAAAACTCTTACTTCTTTTGACAGTGTAGGGAACTGATAATTACTTCTAAAATCATGGTAAACATCTGTTGAAAAAGGAAGAAGAATTCTGAAATCTTTTGAGGAAAACAGAAATTTTTTTTTAAAAAATTGCAGGAAAATGTATTGGATTTCATTCTGGTATTCTGATTTCCGGGTAAGAGATTCTGTACTGTATTATAAACAGACAGGACTGAGAAGTGGATGGGAAGAGTTGAAAATTAGGCTCCTTAATTAAAAATAAATCTTTTGGCTTTCAAAAATTCTTTAGACAAATAATTATTAAAGCAAAAATATAACCCTAATGAATATTATGAAAATTATTTATATAACTTATTACAAAAAAGATAATGGCAGATTTAAGAAAAGGTATCGAACCAAACATTTATTCCACAAAATTATCACATCTTGTGATGTGATCAGGACCAGAGAAAAAAGCTCACCTAGAAAGAGAAGGAAAGAGCACATAGCAATTTTTTACCCTATACAGGAGACAGATGATGCAAACAAAATTAAACATGACCTCGTCACTGGTATCAATCCTGACAAGCTGAAGGCATCAAAAGAAGTGAGCAAAGGTTGAATTGAAACCAACAATACAGAGGACCTTAAGACTCTCAAAAAAGGAAATCTCATCAAACAATGCCCTAAAGAATTATAAGACTATTAGACCAGGAAAGAGGTTACCTCAAATAATCATATACAACGTCCATTAATAATGTTAACAAAGAGGACCCAAACTTAGAGTTAGAATGCAGATTTCCTCCTCTCAGAGATAAAGAAGTTAACCACTGGTGTTTACCAGAATTGGGTGTCGATTACAGTAATCGATTATAACTGTAATTGATTACAGATTTGAATGACAACCTTGCATTATATCTTGATACCAAACAAAACAAAAAATATTTTTACAGATTTTGATTAATTCAAATTTGTAATGAATCGTGAGGGAATGTTTCACTAAAGCTATTGTATTGATGTTTGTTTTCAGCCACTTCTCAGCAGAAGTATGTTGAAGTGAAAGAGCCTCCTCAAGGATTGCTCATACCTATGAAACAAATCACACCTAAAACACCACAACAGCCAAATAGGGTATATATTTCTCTTTTTTTCCTATCGTTTTGTTATGCATTGAGGATAATTAAGATTTATTATTATTATTTCAGATACGGAAGTTTGCTGCAAAATTCAGTGCTGGTCTTAGAGTTCGCAGCCATCCATCTCTGCAGAGTGAACAGATTGGAACAGTTCGTGTCAATGATGTCATTAGTTTCATGGATGAGGTCAGTGCATAAAATTTTCTTGCACCTGTAGAATATCTGTCATGGATTGTTTCACAATAAGTTCAACAGTGTTTTATTGAAATCCTGTTGATCTACTACCAGTGCCAAACTCATTTTAGTTGTTGCTACATTCGGGATTGGTATGCATTGGAAAAACCGGGAGTTGTCGTCAGAGAAAACAATATTTTTTTTAAAAAATGTCTGGGAATTTTCAGAAGAACTACAAGTTTTAGACACCTATTAAACCACTTTTTTTTTGTACATTATATGGTTCAAAGAAATTTAATAAATACTAGAATCAGGGTTGCAAAAAGTGCACCTACCCAGTAAAACCCACCCTAAAGTGGGTTTTACTGAAATTGATTTCTTTTTTTATCCTTTGTTATATTAAAGAGCTATGCTATTGAAATATGTATATAGTCTAGCCTAAAAAAATGAACCTATGATGAAAACACTAACAACTGTCTGAAAAGAAAAATTATTTGTAGAATTCATGAAGAAAAATGTATAGGTCTCACATAAAAAACAATAATTTGACTATAAATCATACTACAATAAAAGTTATTTCATAAGGATTTTAATTCAAAATAAACACAGACAGAGGAAATACATTATAAATCGATTAGTGTTATAAATCTTCAATCTTAAATGTTTATGTATTTTAACACCTTTTGTACACTCAGTCTATTTCTCAATTTTGACCAAACCAGTCCACAAGTAGAAAGCACTCGTTCCAGTGATGCAGAATTAGTTGGACATTTGCTTAAGGCAATCTTAAAGTTGCTAAAATCTGTCATATCTCTATCATTAACATGAGATACTTATCCCTGCCCTCTCTTTTGAAAAAAAAAAAGAACCGAATAAAACATGAAAAATTCAGAAAAACCCACCCGGGTTGGGAAATATCATGGTATCTTTAAAATTGACCCGTTTTTGTTGAATTTTTTTGCATCATACCATCAACATATTTTTTCCTTTTTTTTTTTTTCCTTTCTTTTGCTTAGTGACCAATCTCATCCCTCTTAATCAAATCTGGGGTTAGCCCAATTGCAAAGGCATTCTAACCCGTAATCTATCTGTGACTGATGATACTTTATTTCAGCACTTCGATCGGTAGGATCCAAGTGCAAAATTCGTATCGACCAGCCAGCATTGGGAAACTGTGTTACATCAATGAGAAGCTCTACTCTCAGTATTTATTTTGTACTTTATTTTATAACTGATATTGGCAGCTGATTCTAATTTGAGTTTATGGCTATCAATGTGCGACTCCGTAGCCTTACAGGTTTCAACCTTGTTCCAAATACAAGACACAGTTAGCCTGATAGCAAGGAGTTTTAGAATTTATTGGCAAAAAAATTTTATACGATGAACTCTCCCTACTATGATATCCAATAAAAACAACTCCCTTTATTATGATAATGTTTCGTGGTCCCGACGAACTTGCATATGAATTAATGTCATGCTTCTCTCAATATTATGACATTCTCTACAGCAATAAACCCCTGTAAAGCAGTTTTTTATTTCAACCTTATTTTCTCCATTTATTGTTGGTTTTCAAATAATGTAAGAAATCTTATTTTATCATCTTTTGCCTCTTTTATGACAAGAGAAGACTCACTGCTGACCACCCCAAGAGCTTCCATTCTTAGAATTACCTCCCTTATCTCTTAATAAGTCACAGATGTAACATTCCTATTTGATTTTATTGCCTTCATGTTAAAAGGTGATTGTGACTCACAAATGACCACAAGCATCACAAAAGGGAGACTTTTTTTTTCTGCAGAGGTTGGGTGGAGCACCCTTCACAAACGAAATTCATTTTCGTGCTTTGGACTTAATGCATACTATGTTGGTTGACTTGACAAAACAAAAACTAAATGAATAAACAAACCAAAATATCAGATTATTTTCAATAAAAATGGTTTTCAGTTATTTTTACGATCTTATTTTCTGAATTTATTTTAATTAGTTTTCATAATTAACACTCTGCAAATTAATTTTTTACATAACATATAAATACATTTATAGTTAATACTTATGTAACATTAAAGTTTTTAAAAAAATCTTATTGTCCTCCCAAAGTATGTAGGTCCTCGATATAACAATATATCCCTCTACAACACTATATTGATTTGGTCCCCAAAATATTGTTGTAGCGAGGTTTTACTGTATTTTTAAAAATATTATAGATAATGTCTTCTTTTCATTTCAGCTTCAAAATGAAGATGGTGTATGGGTCCGCCTCAGCCCAGAGACTGTCAGGAAGTATTGCCAGAACGGTTTCACCGAAGCCTGGTGTTTGCAGTATAACAAACATCTTGGAAAAACTTTATTGGTACCCTTAGAGGTATGTTATTTTTCTTCTCTGCCATTGTTCTAAAATCTTTGCACTGCAATAGAGCTTAAATCGTTTTTTTTTTCTTCCTTTTTTTAGTAAGTACTGACCATTCTTTTTTAAAAAGGAATTTGTTTTAGTTAACAACTGCAGTGTTTAAAATTAACAGTAGTTCGATGGTGGGAGTCCACTTAAATTTGACTCTGGCCATCGTAAAATATTTGTCAATGGTCCAAAATATAACCCTCATTGTTTCTGAATTCACTCTTTACTTTTTTCTGCTTATTTTATTTATTTATTTTTTACTTTATTGTCGATCTTTATTAAAAAAAAAAAACACTTATATTGTGCCATTGTTTGATAAACAAAATGTTGAAAAATGTTTCCTCGCTTAGAATAATGATCATTTTTTGCTATATTTTTTTTAGGAACCAAAAACTGCATTAACTGATTTTTTCAAAGAGAAAAGTTTGAAAAAGAAGTCTTTAGAAGATAATCATAGAAACAAATTTAATTCATTACAAGGTCGAGTATATATACTTCATTTTTTTTTACTAATTAAGAAGCAGGAATTAGGTTATAAAGCTTTAATGTTGCCCTGCCTGACTATTTCTTCAAAATTATTTTCCTGATTATTGTATAGCTATATTCTTGAACTGTATAGATAAATAAATATGTAGATATTTATCTATGCAGTTCTGCATATATAAATATCTATACAAATGTATATATTAGGCATTGAAACAATGAATAGACCTAGCTGCTAACTGTGCTGGATTTTTTTTTTTCAGTTTTTCCTGATCTGCTGGTTTAATATAAATTCTCCTGGTTCTTGTTCATTTTAGAAAATTCCCTAACACTGATTAAGGTTCTTAAAAAATCCCTAGTGAAATAAAAATTTTGCACAGATTATTAATTGCTTGGATATTAAAATAAATATTATGTATAATAAAGCTAGCCTCATTTATAAAAATCAGTTTAAAACTGTTTTTGTCTTAAAATGTTCAGTTTATTTTTATTGAGATGCCTATTACTTTTTAATTTGTTTAAAAAAATATTTTAACTATATTTGATAAATTAAATGCTTATTACTATTGAAAATGATCAGTAAACATAATACATAACATTTCAAGTTCATTTTATATCCATCGTAACTGAAAAATAAATATTGCAGTTTTTCTTTTTTGATGACTATAAAAATCCCTATGCATAAAATATTTAGTACATTGTGCAACAGTTATCAGCACAACATTATATTATTTAATAAAATCGACTGGATTTTTTCCTATTCATGTTGTGAACTATGAATGGATAATATTGTTATGTTCATGTTTCAGTTTTAAAATTAATAATTGGCAATGTTTTTGTAGATATGAAATTACATCAAAATTACTGTTATTATTTTTTTACTGTGAGTTATAAAAAAAAATTGTATTTCACCTATTCACCAAACTTTTTATTATTGTTGTTATTATTTACTTATTGTGTATGAAATATGAAATTGTAGTATCAAATAAAACAAGAAATTCCATTTATAATTTGAGGCTACTTTTTATGCTCTTCATTGATTGTCAGTTGTTTGGTTTATTTACTTGAAATTATATTTACGTTTTCAGGACCTGGTGTTTATAAAGTTGTGAAGTGCGGGGCATCAGGCCATAACATCAGGAGCAGACCTAGTTTAAAAGCCTCGGCCGTAGGCATGCTGAGCATGGGTAACACTGTTTGTGGTATAGAAACTGTAAGTGAACTAATTTTCAATTTTAACATATTATTTTAGCTCTCATTATTCATGCTGAATCCAAACTATTTATAAAGTTTATGTTTATGCCACATTTCAAATTCAGTATTTATAAAATTCTTCAAACATGGTGTGTAGCGTTTTTAAAAATTGCTTAAAGACGGTTAATTTTGTTTTTTTATAAGCCCTGAAATGTTTTTTTTCATGGGGTGTTTTTAAAAAGGGCTTAATTTTCTCTTTCCGAAAATGAGATTTTTATTCTTTATTGTGTTGATTTTTTCTGCATCAAAATCAAGGCTTTCACATTGTTCTTTTCAATGTTTTCACAATTTATTTAACAACAATCCATTTCGATGCACAGTCGGTCCGTAATGCATGATGATAGGGCCAATCATGTGATATATTTGATGAAATACTTGGGAATCCCCATGTGTTTCTACTGAACTGGACTTGGTGAGAATCTTGCTGCCTCATCTGCAACTCTGCTGCATTTTGCAAGATATTCTCGATTTCAGGCTTCGTTTTCCACCCTCGGAAATCAAACCGAAAAATCTCTCGACCTTTTTATGATGGCTAATATAATCAAGAAAAGACTTCTTTGTCAGAAAATAGTCATTTTATCATGGTCATGTAAAGTCTTCGAAAATTATTTTGCATTTTGTTAATGTATATACTGCTTAAAAATATTTTTGAATGCTCAAAAAGTACTATAAAGCAGGATTTGTGATTTTTTTTTTGATTTTTTTTAAAAAAAAAGTCAGATTTTTTTAAATTTAAATCAGATTTTTTAAAATTTGAATCAGGTTTTTTATTTTAATTGAAATACACTGTAAGAACTTTGATTTATAATTAAAAAAAACTTTATAAATGTTTAATCAAAATTAAATTAATATTTAAACTATATTATAACAATATATTGGAAGATACAATTCTAATTACCTAAAACAATTTTTCATTACAATACATAGCTTTGAATGCATAGCAACCATTTTGAAACAAATACAAGATTGAAATTTAAAGACTAGATGAAATAGAGAATTTAATGAATACTTTAACTAATAAAACAAAGTTTCATTTAGCAAACTGTAATTTTAATTTAAAATCGTGATTTCTTTTTTATTTCTCTTGATTTTTAAAGACACAAAATATCTGTAACAGATTGTGTTTATAACTGTAGTCATTCATCAAAAAATAAATAAATATTTAATCTATATATTTTTATAGTAAAATATTAATTTTATCAAAATAGATAAGTTGAGCTAAAAAAAATTTTTTTTTAATCTATTTACTCATTGGAATTTTTTTTTCACAAAATTTCTTTATGGAAAATCTGATAATGTCAAAGATACTGTAAACATATTATGAGAAAAAAATACCAGTTAATAACCCTACTGTTTCAAATAGACTTTGAAGGAGTTTGAAAGGGAAAAATAACACTTTATTGGGAAAAAATATCTGAATTCATTAAAAAAAAAAAATTTCTTTTTTTGGCATTTTAGGGTAATTTCTTTTTAATATAACCTCAAGCTTTAGAAATATACATTTTCCACCAATAAAATTTAACGTAGATTTTAATTCTATGCTCTTTCAATCAAAAGGTAGAATTTTAATTAACATTATTTGTATTTTTTTTATTTTTTTTTTTTTTTTTTTTTTAAAAAAAAANTTTTTTTTTGTGTGTGAAAGCACTTTCTACAGCTATGCAAGTCTATATTAAGACAGCATTGAATGTTTACTTTAATATGTATTTTCAATTTCAAGCATCAAAAGATTTTTAAAAATGTAATTTCAATTGTCTTGGAATTCATCACACACCAAGAAAGAAAGTAATTTTGTTGACAAAAATTAATTAATGCAGCACTTCATTTAAAATAAATTTTAAAGCTAAGAAAGAAATATAATAAAAGTATCAATAATTTTAAGCACTGTTTTTTTAACTTTTCAAATCAATATATATTTTTAAAAAACTCAGTTGATTTAAATCAAGGATTTAAAAAAAATCATTTGAATTAAATCGCGATTTAAATCAAGCTGATTTAAATCAACAAACCCTGCTTTAAAGGTGCTTATTTTTTGTTGAGAGATTTAACTACGCACCCTGTAGTAAGTATTAATACAATAGCCTTCAGACCATACAATTCAAACGATCTAACTTTCCATACTCTCCGAACTAGTGAAATGAAGAACACCAAATCTGTTTGTGAAACTCAATGTGAAAACTAGAGAATGGAACGTGGCATAAAGGGCTAAAGGCAATATGTATAGTTTGTCTATGGTAAGAACTCCCTTTGCCACAAAGTCGGAGGCCTTCTGCTGTCATGGAAAGAAGAATAGCACATTTCAGGGAGGGTACGTTCTCATCACTTTAGGGCTATCTCAATAGACCAAAGAAAAAGATTCCCTTTCGTTCGCCTACCTGAGACAAAACCTTTCTTAAACAATGACCCCTCATCCCTTCTTGAAATGCAGTCCCTAACCATATTATTAGACTCACTATAAGACTATGTAAAATTATAATTATCAGGTGATGCTGTGCAGCTGTATCGTATTTACTCGGATGAATTTGTTTATGCTTCTGTATCAGTTGGTTAACATTGGAATGCAATACGTTAAAAATAAATACTAATAGGAAGTATATAAAAAAATCTCCCAAATGAAAACCCATCACGTGTAAGTTTCAATATAAAAGTATTGCCTATAAACTCGTGCAAATCATGTCATTATTAAAACAGTACTGTGAGTCTAATTATTTGGTCTAATTATTACAATATAATACCTGATATAATAAGTATTCTATATTAATATAATATATCGTCTAATTTATCCTATCGACAAATTATATTATATACCGTCTAATTTATCCTATCGACAAATTTATATGATATACCGTCTAATTTAACCTATTGATACACAGACGTAAACAAGTGTAAACTGGTTTCAGTCACGTAAAAACGGTAATACTGTATAGTATATACTGATAATTAAGATTTTACATAGAATCATCTAATAATTTGACCAGAAACTGTAGGTATACCTCATTACCATAGTCACCGTCCACGGGTCCAACTGAATGGCAAAGGGAGTTCTTACTTTACACAAACTATAGTTATCTCTCACGGTTTCAAAGTAAATATTTTGACCCTTTTGTGCCATAACTTTTTACATTTATGTAACTTAATAAACCGTTGGTAATTTTTTTTTTCATGAATGACTTCTTTAAATTAATCTTAAAATGTATAATGTGTGTTTTGTTGAATTATAAATTGTTTTCAAAAAGATGACCAACTCGGATGGTGTATGGGTGAAATTGGACAGAGATAGTGTGAAGGAGTATTGCTTTAATCTGGATGGTGAAGCATGGACCCTCATACAGAGTCCTATGGATGCTGTCTACTTACAGAGAGATGATATGAAGGAATCTTATACTAAATTTCCATCTGAACAGAATTCTATATTTTCTTCATCCGGTGGAAAAGGATTCAATTTCTCTGCTCAGACATTCCCCTCATTTGGACAGTCCATGGGTATGTATTTCTCTGATTTATCAATCATCGGATTTTTTGAGTAGACAACCAATCTGTGCACCTGGAAAGTAATGAGTTTTGGTATTGAACAAAATTTGTCATGATGTAAACTATTTTTTAAAAAAAAAATTAGGAAAGTAGTGAATTTAGCTCGCCGAAAAATCTAATTTTTAAGATGGAATTTAACCCCCCCCCCCCATTTTGNCACCCTTTGACCACACAAGATGCTGCTGCTTGGCCTCCTCACTACCAGGCGCAAAAGTCTTCTTTACGAAGGAGCTCCTTACAAAGGTTTGAATTTATCTCTTCATTAAAGAATTGTGGAAGTATCTTTAGAATATAATTCTGTAGAAAAAAGAATTATTTGCTTTTGTATTTTTTTTAGCTATTTCATTGCTTCAACTCTTTCTTTACTCTGTTTTTTAAATTTAAAAATAAAGATGAAGAGTATAACAGTTTTGGTTATACTTATCATTTCAATAAATGTTATTATAATGCTTTTTTAAATTTATTGTTTATTGTTATTTTGAACATTTTTTTTTCTTTGAGAAAATAGTAACTTTGTTAAGTCATGAAAAACTCTGGGAATTTGTCATGAATTTGAGAATCTAAAATGTAGCAGATACCCTGTAAAGAAAATGTTTTCTCATATTACCTGATTCGAAATTTCCCATACAAAACAATGTTGCATAAAAATCCAAAATGTTAAAAACTATGAAAATCCGTTTTAGTAACTAACAAAAATGCTGTTATAAAACTATGTGGTTTATAGGTAGAATTGTCAATTATCGAGTGCATTAAAAAAGGATTATTCAAATGCATGAGTTAGACAAATAAAATAATATATTAAAACAAAATAATGTATTAAAATGATGAACTTATTAAATAATGTACGTGAAAATCCCTTTTAATAACTACAAAATAAAAACAATTGACAAAATGACACGGATTTACTATGGAATTCTTGCTAATTGAGTTCAGAAATGATTACTAAGCAAGGTTTTGAATAATATGACGTTTTAAAGTATGAAGATTTTAAGAGCTGTGTGGAAATCTGTAATAGTGATTGACAAACCACATAGATTTGAATCTTTGCTAATTTAGTGGGTCAAAATAAAAAGTGATTACTTAAATGTGCAGTTTGAAATTCGCAGTGCACTATTTTCTCATTGAGTGTTAAGAACTATGTGGCAACTATTGTCAGAAAAATAATAATAAATAATTTAAAATGAGTAAAATGTAACATTTATTTCAGAAAATTAATAAAAATTGACTTAGTGCATTACAACCCACTATGTTTAAGTTCAGTAAGTTTAAATAAAATTTATTTCAATAGAGTTAAAATTTCATAATAAATTTATTTTTGTTTCCTGCATCGTTGATTCTTAAAGGGGTGTGTAGCATAAAAATCATGTATTTCTTATTCCAATTTTTTTTTCTCAGCTTTTTTTTTAATTGCACGTTCTTATCCCTGATTGCCTGCACACCAATATATTTATATGTTAATTAATATATGTAATTCCTTTAAAACTTTCCAATTAATTATGCAAGTAATTTATTTATTTTTAACAAAATAATTAGGTCTTTAGAGACCTTTTCACAAATTATGAAAATTGTGTTTTAAAAAAGTCAAACATTCCTGTGTGACATTGAACTACAAAGTTTCATAATTAAAATTATAAATTTTTGTTGCACTAACCACGCTAATTGTGAATTAATTCTTTAAATGGCAATTATTACAACAACAACAAAATATATATATGATAAATTTTTGTTCTGAAATTAATCAGTTATTTTTTTATTTTTTGAAAATATAATAATCTTACGGAAATTTTTCAAGAGTTATTCGAAGGATTATATTTTTAAGAATTTTATTTGATTATATTCTACTCAGTTATAGCGAGTTGCAGTTTGCATTTGGCTATTCTAAGTGTTTGTCGTGTTACATATTATAAATATAGTGTGTCTGGAAATAGAGTTCAATAATACCTAAAATTGATTTTATGTTTCTAGGTATTTTTACTTTTGGTAGCGGTACTTCAGATCATGATGATGCTTCTTCTGGTGATTCTGCTAGTCCTTTTAGATTTGGATCGCCAAGTAAAAAAATAACCTTTTCTGCTATTTTTAATCCTTTCATGAAACGAATAAACTCATTACATCGAACTAAATGTTTTTTTAGGCACTACTCCATCCATTTCTATGAACGTCTTGGAGCCCGAAAAAAGCGAATTGGATGCCATGAAGACCTCCAGTAACAACAGCAGCCATATTTCCGCCCTCCAGCGTTTATTGAGCGAAGAGTCTGGCATTCGATCCAATTCTGAATACTGTCGGACATCTGTCACCTGCGACATCCCACCGGAACTGCAGAGCGTTTCTGTAAAAGATCTGGTGAAGGCTATCGGAGAAAGTAGGGTGAACGGAAATGCCGCCACACCGCCGAGGACGCCTCCGAACACCCCACCCATTCCTCATAGAAGTTCCAGAGGCAGCAGTCCCATGCACACTTCACCTAAAATACCATCACGCCGTAGTTCCAGTCCTATTCAAATTGTTCCTAATCCTCTGATGCGCTGCAATAGTGAAATTCCTTCCCTCAATAGCATTTCATCTTCCTCACCTCCTCCATCCACCTCTCCCAAGAGACACCCTTTGACCACACAAGATGCTGCTGCTTGGCCTCCTCACTACCAGGCACAAAAGTCTTCTTTACGAAGGAGCTCCTTACAAAGGTTTGAATTTATCTCTTCATTAAAGAATTGTGGAATCAGCAAAGTAGTGGGAACTGGATTAAAAAAAATAATTTATGTTACCCTACGTAGTGCAAAATTTACAATCGATACAGGGTGACTAAATATAACCAATAGTGATTCAGAAAATTGCAAGGTGCATATTATTATTGTTTTTTAGTTAATATACAATTATTTAGAATGTTTAAAAAAACTGCTTTATCTCACTTTTTTTTCTGAATTTTTTTTTCTTTAATTTAAAAATGAGCCTTGTAAATCAGGGTAGCCACCCACCTATAATTATCAGGGTTTTTTATTTTTTTAATTCGGAAAGTCGAATAAATTTAGATAAAAACTTGGGAAGGAAAAAAAAATCTAATTTTTTCACTGATTTTCTTAATTTCACTATTATTTTACAGTCCATTATACACACTTTTTTAGACAGAAATTTATGGCAAAATGTTCAAAATATTGCCAACTTAGCACTACTTTCATTGCATCAAAACTCTTCCATATTTGCTAAATGAATGAAGAAACATTTCAGCTCTTCGGAAACTATAGGACTATGGAGTTCAGAGAAAGCAAAGAATGTTTTGGAAGGAAAGAATGGATTAGGATATTTTCTCCTGTTCATAAAACCAGGGGATTTACTTTTTTGCTTTCCAGTTCGCAAGACGAAGTCATTTATCATTAAAGTTTGTTCCAATGGTTTGGAGATTTTTTTTTCTTTCAAAAAAAAAATGATTCAAAATGTTTTAGTATTTTTAATTTTATAAAATAAAATTCTCCAAAATTATCTGGTCATAATTTAACAGTAGATTTTATTTTGCACTTTTTTCCGTAAGCTTTAGATTTCCCATCCAATCTAACCGTTGGATTCTTTTTTTCCCCACCAAGCTAACCAGTTACATATCTTGCAATTGCAAACAGTAATGTTTGTAGAAAAATTGTTGCATTGATCTTATTTTTCTCAATTTCATATTACCTACTCTTTTAAATCACATTTTAATTTTTTTTTCTAAAAAAAAGAAAAAAGGTTCCTTTAAAAACCAACTAAATGTTGATAACATTTGACTCTACTCTTTCATTGGTAAATAATTGATTTTTTAATTTTTAATATTTGATTTAATCACAATGTCGAAAGTTGTTGCTTGCATTATCGTAATGATATTTCCGAATCTTTCTCCTTTTTCCCTAAAAAGCTGGCAAAGAAATTTGATAATGTATGCGAAACATTAAATGATGTATAAATATAGAATGTAAAGAAGAAAGAAATTGTTTATTTATTGGGAACATGGAAACCAAAACTTTGTATTTTTTTTTCTGAACTTTACTATACCTGTTTCTAGCTGTAAAACACAATTAACTTAGTTTAAAATTTTAAAAAAAAGCATGGGGTTAGATTTCAAGTAAAAAATAATAAAATTTAGAGAATTTTACGTAGTTTTTATGTAACAACAAGACATTCTACTATTTTGCATTTAAATACCAAAAATCACTGTAAATAATAGAACTAATTCAAAACAATCAACAGTATAAAAACATTTAACTTAAGATATTTGTTGAAAAAAAATGTATATGTATGTATTGGAGTTGTATATGTATATATTTCTCGTTTTACGGTATATGTTTTTATTCTTTTCACTGTGACATATGAAACCAAGAATTTTGCCTTCGGGCAGGAATAAGGATGTATATATCCTTTGCGGGTGGATTGGTTGGGGATTATTTGAAAGCAGTTTTCACCAAAGAAATTATTATTATTATTTTTAAAAAAAAACACTAAAATTTAAGAAATTTTTTTTAAAAATAAGACGCAAAAAATATCTGTCTTTTTTAATTGTAAATTAAATTACTCTAATATTGAGGGAAAATATGCAATTTTAGAAAGGGGTATGACACCTTCTTTCCTAAAAAAGGAAGGAGGCTAAACTCCCTCCTGACCCCCTGATTCTCTTTTTGAAAGGTTAAGTGGATGAAAAAGCTGCATTGTACCAGAATTTTTTTTCTTTCTAAGAACTGTGTTATGGCTGATCATAAGTTTGTTCATTTTTCTACTAGAATACAAATTTTCTTTGAAGATATATCTTTTTTAAAGAAAGTTCACATCTTTAGCGAATCAAAAACAATTCAAACTTATATTTAATAAGTACCATTAGTTTTATTTAAGTTTTTTAAATATAGAGTACACAGTACAGTATGAAAAAAAAATTATGTACTAAATTGCTGTTTTTGTAATTCTGCTAATTAATACAATCAATTATTTAAGAATGCTTTGTTGACATTCCTTACAATGTTGTTTTGTGTTTATATTTCAGTGATACTTCTGTAGGCTCACATTTCAGTACAATTCTCAAAGATTTATCTCAGACTGCTCCTACTGGTTGTTTAGGTTGCATCTCTCAAAGAACAACTATTAGTCCACTGAGCACTCCTGGAACACCAGGCACACCTGCAACGCCTGGAACTCCTAAAAAGGTTTCTAAATTTTTGTCAATAAGCAGTGCTAAACCATCCTATCAAAATTTGTCTCCAAGAAAATCTAATATCGTTAATTTTGTGTTCTTATTACAGGAAGTGAATAGCATTGCTACAACAAAGAGCGTAACACAGACTGGAACTCAAACTAGTCCCGATGGTGTGAAGAATCATTTTAGTATTGGATCAGCCGGTGCCAGAGAAGAACCAACAAGGGTGTCTCCCAAGTTGTCCAGGAAAGATAGAACCTCTCGACAGTTGCGTAATAAACGAGAAAGAGTGAAATCTCCGGGATCTCTTCGTGAAAATTCTGAAAAAACCAAAGAAAAAAGTGTTACCAAAGAGGCCGTGAAAGAGGCAATGACGCCGTCTATTGCCGAGTGTCTTCGAGCAGTATTCGCAGCCTTTCTATGGCATGAAGGGATTGTTCATGATGCCATGGCCTGTGCGTCATTTCTTAAGTTCAATCCCACTCTTCCAAAGCAAATAACTAGTGTCGTTCCTCATGTAGCTATTAGAGAGAAAAAAGAGCACTCCCCCCTAACTAAAGAACAGAAAGCGAGGTATAGGCATTCTGTCGAAGTTGCCAGTCCAAGTTTACTGACTTTCCAATATTTCGAATCATTTTCGCCTACTCCGTTTAATGCTAACATATATAAAAGCAAACTTGGCCGAACTTCCGTTGCTATCAAGGAGGATGTTGTCGAAGCTTCAAAGCAGTTTGATGCCAACAGTGAAAAAAGTGACAGTCCTTCAAAACGAAAAGCCAGCGTGAATGAAAAGTATCAGTTGCCTCAATCGCTTCAGCACTTAGTGATACTGTGGGAACATATCTCCTCATCTAGCTTAAGGATAGTATCTCAGCAGCTTGTGTTGCCCAGTCCAGTGACTGGTTCAAAAGTCTTTCAGAGGTTAGAGAAGGAAAGAAGCAATAAAGACAAGAAAGTTAAGAAGAAAAAAGATTGCCGTCCTGTCTTGACTGTCCGTGGTAATTTTCTTGCCGAAGCGGGCGGCGGCCCGTTTGCTGCCGAAAGAGAAAGCATGTGCGAGCTGTGTGGAAACTTTTTCCCCCATCCAGTGACCTATCACATGCGACAAGCTCATCCGGGTTGTGGTGATCATGCAGGTGGGAAAGGGTACAACAGTGGAGGTAATTTCTGTGGCGGATGGGCCGGAAATTGTGGTGATGGAGGCATTGGGGGCAGTAGTTGGTACTTAATTTGTGATCGTTGCAGAGAGAAATTCATTCGCCAAAAAGGACAGAGCTTAATAAAAGAGAAAGTTAAAAAATCAAGAAAGAAGGCATCACCTACTAAACTTCTTTCTCCTTTGCCTCCCATGGAGGCTCATCAAATTATGAAAAACAATGCCTTATTTTTGTTGGAATTATCTTCCTCTGCTTCGTCTGGTCTTCCAACCAATGCTACTACTCCCAGTAGACTCTCCCTGTATAATAGTATGTCTAGTGTATATGAAGAGAACGGTTTCTATGACGTTTCCCCTTTCCATTTATCTTCTTTTCAGTGCTTGGATGCCCTTGGTGTCCAGCAACAGTATAAGAATATGATAGGAGAGGAGTTTCTTTCTGAAGATGACATAAGGGCTCTGCAGAATGGTGTTGAAAATATCAGTTCCTTGTCGAATTTATCTCCGGGAATTATGCGATCTCTGACGATGAACGGCGGGGCCGATTTGCATCTAGTCAACGTGAGGAGGCGCAAGTCGAAAGTGAGAGAGAACGAGAGCAAAACACGCACATTTCACAGATCTATTTCTGTTGGCCTCACTTCCAGAGACTGGATGAAGCAAGAAAGTGGCCCGGGTGCTGCTGCTGCTGCCGCCGAGTGCCGGATCATCATGACCAGGAAGCGGAACAACAGCAGCGGTTGCGAAGATAGCAGTCCTTCTTTTCTCTGTCAACCCTCAGCAGCCTTAACGAAACTAGTCTCTGTGTTGATGGAGAGACCTGTAATCTCTCGTAGGCCGGTCATGGCTTTCATCCTTCAGCAACATGACTTGGATAGCTTGCAATTAGCTATGAAACAAGCTCTTAGAAAGGCTTCTTGTAGAGTATATGCATTGCAAGTAAGTTATTCCGTCATTATATTATTACATTTCTTTGTCAGAAAATTAATTTGATACATGGTGCGTTACGTTTTTAAAAAGTGCTTAAAGGTGCTTTTTCCATTGTGTGTTNCAATGGTTACACCTATAGAATTTTTACCTTTTACCAAAGTTCAAGGTTTTGGACACTTTAAGACAGTTTTACCCAGTTTAGGACAGTTTTACCCAGTTTAAGACAGTAAAACAGGAACACCTTTAATTTTTTACAAATATATCACTAAGTTTATAGATAAAAAAAAAAATAGGACGCGAATGTTTAAATAAACATTACTATATTTGTCATTAAAATGTCTAAATACATGCGCGGCCCTTCGTTAGCCAACCTGCTGTGCAAGCGGCCCTTCACTCAAAAAGGTTGTGCACCCCTAGGTTAGTAGACATGTGAGGCTCCCGAGTGAGTTTCGCAACATGACATTGCATGCTTAATAGATCTTTCTGCGTTGTATTGTCGATTCATTGTATGTCTTTGAATGCTGACGTACATTATTTAAATGCAGTTTCACATTATTGATTTTATTATACTTTTATTAAGATAAATATAGATAGTATCTGGGTAAAATATTTAGTTAAAAATCTATAAATATAATTAACTTTTAGAGAAAAGTTTTATCTTCTTTAAATTTTCATTAATTGGAATTCAATACATTTACAGTACGAAATCACGTAACATACATTAATTTTCTCTGCTTCAACTTTCACATAATACAAATTGAAGCTTAATATTATGCTACAAAAATAATAGTATTGTGGGTAATCAACAATGTCAACCTTCATCTATGAAAAGGTACCCCTACATAGAATCGAGTTAACATGCCTTGTATACTAGTGAATTAAAATTGAATCATTGTAATTTTAGACACGTTACAGTATTATTTCAATAAAATTTCGCACTTTGACTCAAACAAATGTTATTTTTTGCTATTTTTTGTTAACAGTTAATAATTAGTGTTGTCAACAGCCATTGTGATTTTTAACTCTTGTGCAATTTTTTTATAGTAAAGAAATACATTCATTTTGTTATTAGTGTTATACAGCGCTATGAAAAATTTAGAAAGGGTACACAATAATCATAAGTTTGTGAAACACTGATGTAAAGGATATAAAATAGATTACCATAATTAGGGCTGCAGGTCTGTCGCGGCGCGAATTTCCGCGATGATTCCCTCGAAATTGTCTTTTTTTTCTAAAATCCGTGAATTTCGCAATATGTTTTGATTTGCACGAAAATTGCTTAAAATTGATTTTTTTTTCTTCCCTTTTTTAATTTATTATTTTTAGTAAACAGAATTTTTTACTTTCCTGAAATCTTAAATTGAACATGTAATATTGATTAGATATTAAGAGGAGTGAATAAATAGAAAAATGACAATAAAATAATTCAGAGATAAAAGATAATCCCCCTCTTGTCATGTAAGGTGGTCTTTCTACACTTAGGGAAGGTGATAGATTGATAGGATTACCTTGCTGAAGTCAGTTAAAGTACAAAAGAAATTGGAACCACAAAAGAGGGAAAAAGTCATAAATCAAATGTTTGACATAAAAATTGTTTCACAGGCTATTGCACTGGGCAATGAAATTTCTACTACCTTTGTACATATCCAGACAATTTCTCCTGAGAGGCTTCTTGTGATTTCTTAAATAGGGGTCAGTTTCTTAGAGGAGCGGGAGATAAGGCTTTTGTAACTAGTACTTTAAATGAAGAATGTTTAAGTTTTCACAGCACAGTAGGGGGAGGGGCTCTTTAATATTTTGTTAACTAGGCCTTTGTGTTTAGAAACACATGACTTTGTCTCAAAACGAATATTTGAAGCCCTTCTTATTCATTGGTCTAATAGCAGCAGAGTTAGAAAGAACGCTCTCTAGGATAAGCCTTGTTTGTATTTTAAAGGCTAGTCCCATTTTTTTTAAACCCTGCTGATGTAAGTTTGCTAGTTAAAAATATGAGCCATGCGAGTAAAGCAACTGCTTTTGAGCGATGTCAACAGTTCAAAAATGGAATTTTTTAAGTTAGAAAAAACCTATTATTTTGTAGCACATGCAATGTTCCTGTTGATTTCTCAAGAAAAAATAGCTGTGATAAACACTTGAAAAGTAAGATTCACCAAAAGAAGATTGCTGGGGAACCGAAAGTAATTCAAGCAAGTATTACTTCCTTATTTGAAAAAAAACTCTTCAAGAGCAACATCGCGCTGTGGAGATTTCTAAGTTGGTTGGTGTTTTTGCTGCAACAAACATTCCGTTGCGTAAACTTGATAATCTGGTATTGAAAAGTTATTGAGAAAATTCACTCAAAAACATAGGTGTCATATCAAGCTCCAGTCACCTACGAAGCCACTATCTACCAAAGACTCACGAATCTCACAAAAATCAAGTTGTAAATGTTCTAACATCTGCCGCTGGTGTTAGTATTGTCACAGATGAAACAACAGACCCTGGAGATAGATATATTCTAAACGTGTTAGCTGTTCCATCAGTAAAAATACAAAACGACGATTCGAACCTTTCCTTGCTTTCATTTTTTCTTGAAAGCATTGCGTTAGAAAGTGTGAATTTTAAATCTGTCAGTGAAGCAATTATTCAGTGTTGCCAAAATTACAGACTTCGCCTTAATGCTATTACAACTTTTGTAACTGACAACGCATCTGAATGCTCATCTTTTAAATCTCTTGGGAGAAATATGGCAAAATGAGTTTGAAAATGTAAATAGCTTTGTAGTTCATTTTCGAGCTTTTTTGATGGAAAGGGGCAAAAAAGCTTCTTTAACACCGGTTACTGTGCAAACTAGATGGAATAGCTGGTTTGAAGCTTGTTTATTCCATGTAAATTATTTGGATATGTACGCTGAATTTTTTGATAAGGAAAAAGAAAATAGTAGTAGCTCAGTTTTAAACACAATTTGTGAAGAATGTAATGATTCAAATTTGAATACAGATTTAAAAGAAATTGAAAAATATGCTCCATTAATTTTGAATCAATTGACTTTATTTGAGAAACAAAGAATTAGTTCCCATATTATTTACAAGGAAATGTACGATTTCTCAAGAGTATTGGAAAGCAAATTAAAACGCTGTGAGCGCTTAAAATCAAAAAATGTTCTAAGACTCTGTGAAGAAAAAATTAAGCACCATTTTTTTGAAAGCAGCAACAGCCATAAACGAAAATTTCGCCAGCCAGCGTCAAACTTTTTTAAAGCATGCCGAGTTTTTTATCCCTGTCAATATAAGTATTTAAGTGTTTTAAATGAAGAGGACAATTCTTCAGTTTTTGAACATGTCCCAATGTTTAAAAATGACGAAGAATTGATAAGGGAATTTAATTCTTACAAAACAACTGTGAAGGAATTGCACGTTGATGAAGGAAAATTGATAGAGTTTTGGAAATCAAAGACCAAACGATATCCAAAAGTGGCAATTCGATGTTTGTCGGTGCCTACAAACAGCGTGGACGCAGAAAGATCGTTTTCCTAGTATAAAAATGTACTAAGTGATGAAAGACGTAGTATAAATGAAAATAATCTGACAATGTACAATACTTTGTACCAGAATTCTGTACATTTAGATAAAAATATTAGTATTGCTTAAAATTAAATAAAAATATTTTCATTGTGTATTTTTTAAGCTTTTTTTATTATTTGTGCAATTTCTGTCCTTTGCATCATTTATATGGTAAATTTTATTGTGTTTAGAATATGCGTAATTTTAAAAAATTTTCGCAAATTCCGGGTATTGTTTCCCGCGACAAACTTGCAGCCCTAACCATAATCTATGATTTTTGACAGTTGCCATTGTTACCATGGACTTGTTATTTATTTGTATAAGTTTTAATCTAAACTAAATCCTTTCATTGTAATCATCATTTTTGCCAATATTATTTTGTGTATTTTTTATTTTTTTAGTTATTATTATTTTGTAATATTTAAATCTTGCAATTATTGTTGGCTAGTTTAAATCAAATATTTTTCAAAAAAAAAGAAATTAAACCTACTTTTTTGTACATTTTTTAAAAAAAATTTACTAAATATATAAATATGTTTAGTTTTTATAAAGCCAAATGAAAAATTATAAATTTTTTCATTAAAAGTGATTACTAATTTTGATTTTTGACTTGCAGATTTTAAAGTGGCTTTTGCGAATTGTTACTCAGCCAATGTCCCTTCATGACTTGTTGTGGTGTTTTGTAGCAGCTCTCTCTCCAGCACCTTTTGATAAAAATGATGAAGAAGGGGATGAGGACTCACCTGAGAAAAAAGATCATGAGATGGTAATTTCATTTTATATAAGTTCTATTTTTAACACTTATATATACTTTTTACAGTTGTCTTGTAGAAAAGAATGTAGTGGTAATTTAATAGCAAGTCAGGGTTTCCACTTTGCAGGGAGAACAAAGGTTAAATAGTTTCTGAGTTGAATATTCAACTTTATTCAAATTCGATTTCTCAGTAACTATTCGGCAAACTCAAATTTTGTCTTATTAAATAACACTCTTTAAAATGATGTAAAAATTTTCCTTACAATTCAAATATTTTGGACTATTAAAATGATAAATAATCTTTAAAAATTATTTTTTTGTCTGAAATTATCAAAAAAGGTTTGATATAAAAATGTTTAAAATTTGGTAATTAGTTCATATTGACTTTAAACTTGTAAATCAAATCATATGGGTTTCAGACATGCAACTACAGAGTTGAAATTTGATGTACTTAAAGGGGATTGATACTTAACTTGATTTATGAACTTAATACAAGTTTTTTTTTCCGAAATTCTAATTTTCTTAGAGTTATTGCATTTTGGGCTATTTATTTTCCAGTTTTCTTTTGATTCAATTAATTACAATTTATTTATTGCATGAAAATTTATTCATATTGTGCCCTTTATTTTAAAATAATTAGAAATTGTTTTCAATTTAAACTGTTAAAATGATATAAGATTATTGTAAGATAATCATTAAAAGGTAAAAATATTTCTCCACTATTTCTTCTTATTGTGTCACACACTCTTTATTCCTAAGTTTATTTTTTCAAGTATAGGTTATTGACTTTCAGATCCTTCATTTCTACGAGATCAGTGTAATAACAAAATGGTCTTACATAAAATTGTAATCAATACTTATTTTACTAACAAAATTATCTTTTTTAAAATATATGTATATGGGCTTTTTAGAAAGAAAAGAAGAAGAAAAAAAGGAAAGGAAGCAATCAGGGGGGTTTAGTGAATAAGTGGGTAACAGAGCCTCTTGGTGAATAAAAATTATCTTACAATTTTGAGAAGTTTCTTTTCAATTATGTAAGAAGTTTTTAAATGAACATTCTTGTTTTTAAGAGTTCTTGCATTGCTTAAATTTTTTAGCTGTTCTATTCATTTCATTATAGAACTCGCTTTTTACTATAGATTTCCTTTCTTTCATTGCATGATTTACACATTTTTTAACTACTAATACATTCTATATTTATTTTCAATGAACCATTTATAATTAGTTAAACCTATTGGTTTTTACTGTCTAAAGTAATTACTAGCAAATAACACATGACTTTGTAAATATTTTTTTCCAGGAAAAAGATTTAGGTGTTTGTGAGCACCCCCTTTCTGACATCACGATTGCAGGTGAAGCCGCTTATCCTCTACCGCAAACATTTCATGCTTTCCTCCAAACTGTGTCTGACTTGATGATGCTGCTTCCTGTAGGCTCAGCTCTGCAACAAATAGCCATGAGGTGTTGGTGCTTAAAATTTCACCCTGAAGATCACGGTTTCCTACATCGCAGCCACGTCTTCTCTAACATTAGCAAAATACTCTCACGCACAGAAGAGGAGGAAGACACAACTGCTGTAGAAGACATGTCCCAGGTACTAAGTTAAGCAACTTTATAATTAATACACTAATTTTGTTAGAATAAAACAAGTTTTACACTTTGGATTTTATTTAATTTCTTAGCCTGGGAAGCCTTTCTGAACAGCAAGCCGGAAAAGCCAAAATAAATTTTTAAAAAATGTTGTAGAATTAGCATATAGTAAAATTGGGTATTTTAGATTTTGAGAAATGTTTAGATTCATTAGAAAGTTATACAAATGACTTACACATGTGTGGCTAATATTTTTTGCTCTGTATAGGTGTCTACTGAGCTGGATTCGGTGCGATAATTACAGTCTCATATGCAACTATGCTGCATTTTGCAAGATATTCTAAATTTCAGACTTCTTTTTTCATCCTCTGATATCGAACTGAAAAATCTCTTGATCACTTTGTAATGGCTAATATAATCAAGAAAAGAGTTCTTTATGAAACCTTTGTGCTTGTGTAGAGTTTATTAAATAGATATTTTCACATACGGTGTGTTATATAGATATTCATATAATAGATATTTTCATAGTGCATAGCAAATGCATTTCAGTACAATTTGCCCATCTGCTCAAAGTATCAGATTTGTTTGGAGTCTTATGAATTATATTTTACTTGAACCTATCAACAAAACACACCACAAGATCATATGCAGTTCATTATTCCCTTTGTAAAATTGTTTTATTTGCTAAAATCTATATATACTTGTATTTATCAGGTTTCTGCTGATATTGAAGCTTTAAAAGATGTGACGCCATTAGTCGATATCAAAGCATCCAGCCGTCAAGCGATGGTGAATAGTCTTACAGACAATACTACTGAAACATTTTGGGAAAGTGGAGATGAAGATCGCAATAAAGTAAAAGTACTTAATTTATCTTGTGATGCAAAAGTTCAACCCAGGATGGTGTACTTGCATATTGATAATTGCAGGGACTTGGGTGTAAGTATAACCTTTTTTTACATTATATTTCTGACCTAATTGTGCCCATCTGGTATTTTTCAATAATATTTTGTATATTAATTTTAAATGAAATGGAAAAATCACTGACAAAAATCATTAAAAAGTTTTTAGGCTCAAAAAAAGAATTTGGAACATCCCATAAGTGTTTAAATATTATTCAAAACTATTAAAATCAAGTTTGTGTAAATATTTTTTATTAATTGTTTGATGAAATGTTTGTAAGATGCAATGCTATGTGCTGTTGTCATGTGTAGAACTTAGCATAAATTCTTCTTCCCATTGCAAGGGAAAATGTGTATTGAATATTATAAGTTTTCTTTAAAAAATTCTTGAAAATAAAGATAAAAATTAATTTTAAACCTAATGCTTTGTATTTTCTGCCATTATCAAAACTGTACATTTAAAAAAAAAATTTTTTTTTGTGAAATTCATCTATAAAAAAAATATATTATCTGATGAATGATGTATTTTTATGACCTTTCTTTAAAATCCAAAAAAAAATTAGCAAAAATAGCAGCTAGTAGCAAACTTTCCGAATTTTGTTCTATATCTGACAGTTAAAAAAAATGTTAACTCATGAATTTCTTTGTTTCTATAAATCTAAATTATATGAAGTCAATGTAAAGAAAGTTTTTTTTTCACTGTTGATTATGTATTTATTTATTTGTTATGAAACAAACAATTCTGTTATTGTGAATATTTATTATATAAATCAACTATGTTAGTTGATCTAGCAAGTTTTTTACTTCATTTCTAAATTGTTTAATTTCAGAACAAAGTTTCTGGAGTAACTTTTAAAGCTGGGCAAAACTCTGAAGAATTGGTGAAATTGCGACAAGTAAGTGTGTTGCAATATTGTTATAAATTTACTTTTTCTAACCAAACTGTTGGGACCATATTTCCCAGATTGCACTTTAATTTTTAATAATTATTATTCTTTATTATCTTATTTAATAGTAGTCAAAAATAATTGAGTTGAAAGATAGATTGAATTTTACATCATTTTTAAGAAATTAATTTTAAATGTGGCAAAATGCGACATTTGAACGAAATTGTCCAAATTTCGACACCTTCAACCCTTTTTCTAACCAAACTATTGAAACTGTGTTTCCCAGATTGTGTCTGCCCCCTAATATGAGGGTGTAGAATTCTAATCCATTAAAGAAAAGGAAAGAAAGTTTGTTTTCAGGGTCTGATTTTATTACTTAAAATTTTATTTGTTCTTGTTAATTAGCATATTTAAGATTAGGTCCAAACCATTAAAATTGAGTTTTAGTATGTGAAAATCTGATCATTAGATAAAAAAAGTAATTCATGACACTCTTTTTTTCTTTCTTTTTTTCTTTGGTGCTGTGTTTTCTCATCTTTCAGTTAAATGCTGTCATTTGTTGGAAATGATTCTCAAATAACAAAATTAATGAAAGTACAACATTTATGATGTCTCTCTTATGTTGTAAACTATATTTATTTAGCTTGAAGTGGAGACGCGGTATATTGGATGGCTTAGCTGTGATATTCCTGATGGAAAATTCTCTTGCATTCGTTTAGAGCTTAAAGGTCCAGATAACACTCTAAGACTGAGACAGGTGAAAGTATTGGGCGTCCAAGAGGGTGAGAGCAGCATACACATTGGAAAGAATGTCACTGCAACACAAATACAACAGAAGAACTGTGAAGCTGAGACTTTAAAAGTTTTCAGGCTTCTAACATCACAGGTTTGATATATACCTCCCAACATTTCTGACACACATCCAAATATTGATGTGCAAAAATACTTCTTAATATTTTTTGGGGGTCTGCCAAAAAAATTTAACATAAAGAACTTTTCCATCTAATTTCCGCATATTAACATATTAAAATGAAATCTTAATTCCTTGAGAGTTATTCCTTAAAGAAGGAAAATAATTAATTTAGGTGATATTTTAAGTTATCGAATCAGTCACAGAAATGCATTATGTTTGAAAGATTCTGGCTTTTTGGATTTCCTAACCTGGTAGTCATGACCCTTATGAATTATTTGCATTTTATCACTAATATATTTTTAAAGAAATTTCAGCATAAGTTGTTGCTTTATATATTTCATGGTATGTTTTCACATTTAAAATTTTTTATTAATATGTGACTCCATATTAAACAGAGATTAAAGCAAAATGCACTCAAGCAATAACAGAGGGTTTCTGCATTTGGTTTTTATTGCCCTCTTAGATGAAAAGCCTTCTTCAAAAAGGTTTCAAGACCAAACCTCTATATTTACTTTGATGGAGCTTGCATGACGTGTAAATGTTTAATAAATGATAGTCCTTATTTTCACTTGAAAAAAATTTCCCTTTTTTTCGGAATAGTTTTGTATGCCATACTAAAACTTATTTATTCAAAGATAAATATACAAAGAATATTTTTAACAATTATATATTATGTTGAAAAAAGATTGTTTTTAATAGTTAGTATCATAGTTTTTGATTAACTTAAAAAGGCCATTGAAAAAAATTACATTGAAAAGTTCAAAAAATAGATCTTTTCAGATAATAGGTCTTTAAGGTAAACAAACATCAAAATATGTGTTATTCAATAACAGAATAATAAATTAAACATAATTAACAAACGTTTTTTTTTCTTTCTTTTTTATGTTGTGAAGAATCAGCAGCGTAGATAAGCAGATTAAAATAACATTAAAAATAAGTTTCAAATTCTAAAAATAAATTAATTCAAATTGATGAAAAAATAATCTTTAACAGGAATTGAACTGAATTGAATGCGCTTCTTTTTATGAAATCAACCGTAATTTAAAGCAAAACAAATTTTATCTGCTAATGTTCTTTTCTAACACTATTAATATTCAGCTTCAATAATATTCATCGAATATTCTTCTCCCCAATGTTTATTTATTTTGATTGTTAAAAAGTCTCCAGAAAATAGATGCTTTCAATATTTACTTATATTCTATGTATCAATCACTCAAATTTTAGTATTTATTTAATTTATTTTGTGTTTAAACAAGTATAAAATTTTCATTATGAGTCTAGCTTAAACTACTTGAAAGAATTAAGGTGGAACTTGTACCAGATTTTTGATCTAATATTTCATAACTAGAAGCTCTAATGTGTGTTTTAACTGCTTGTTATATGTGTATATATATATATTATTTCAATAATCGTAGGTGTTTGGGAAATTGATCAAGGGCGAGTTTGAGGATGATTTAAAGAATGATGTCAATCCAGAAGCACAGTTGTCACACTCTCAAAGCACACTGGAGACAAATGATCTCAAAGAACATATGGTGGGAATTTTATTCTCCAGAAGTAAACTCACTCATTTGCAGAAACAAGTAAGTTATCAAAAAACTGTTTATTAATTTAATGAACTAAGAGTATTAGGTTAAAAAATATATATAACTGCATAAATGTGTATATTTTTTATGTTTTTTTTTTTTTAAAGTAATATGGATGGTTGACCGAATGTAAACAATAACAGGCTTCCAAAAACAGGAAGAAATTTTGAAAACTTCCGGCGAATCCCTTCGCTTACAGGGTTACCACTCCACAGAGAGAACAAGGAATTTAAAAATCACCTGAAATAACAGGGAAAATGCAGGGAATTTTCATTTCTTCTTTACGAACTGGGAATTTTGTTTCTTATTTTTGTCTTTTAAAGAATGGTGACCCCTCAAAGCGTAATCTATGGGATGTTTCAGCTATACTAAACTATTTCCTTTACTATAGCATTATTTAAGTATGTTCAGCTGTTTTTCCAGCAATTAAAACTAATAAATTAGTTAGCCCAATATAACTTACACAGGAGCACAGTAATTGATGTGTTTCCTCTTAATATGTACAGGGAAAACACAGGGAATATTTTTTACAGATTTGAGTGGTGACCCTGATGATTGACTGAATGTAAACAATAACAAGCTTCTGAAAACAGGAAGAAATTTGGAAAACTTCCGGTGCATCCCTCCAGTTATGTTATGCTTACGAGGCAATGTGTGAACAGGCTTATTATTTTAGAAGGTTTTATTATTGCGATTTGTGTTTAAATTTATTCATAAATTTTACCATTCGTATGAGTTTCCTGTAATTTACAAATTCTAACTGGTTGTAAGCCTAATTTTAAAAAATTAATATAACCACTTAAATGCTATGTTTTAAGTGTTATCCCTTATTTGGCTATATTTGTGTAAAATATCACCGTTAGTTATTTTTTGAGTCGCATCTTGCAGGGCATAGTATGCTGTCGGAATCTTCAGAATTTTTATGATGTTTGTTCCATGCAATTTAAATTTAGAAAACGAGTTATATTGCAAACACTACTTGTATAATAATATTTGATGGAGCCTTTTTTCAAGCTTACGCGTAAAAATCAATCCGAAGTAGAAATCTGGAAGTACAGATGTTGATGTAATAGAATTGAGTTAACATGTCTTATGTACTAATGAAATGAGTTGTATTTTTGTAGTGGTAGACACTATGTGAATAACTCCTTGTCTAAATATTTATATTGTTTAACCTATTTTTTTCCTCCTTAAAAAAAAAGGTATGTTCCCATATTGTTGCTGCTATTAGAAAAGAAGCTTCCTGTGTGAGAGATGAATGGGAAATCTTGTTATGCAGCAAATCTCAGTCAACAGAAGAACTGCCAAAGTCCTCTGATGCTTATTGTTTTGAAATGTTATCTATGGTGCTGGCCCTCAGTGGTTCCAGTGTAGGCCGTTCCTACTTAGCTCAGCAGGCAGGACTGCTCAGGGACTTGTTCAGTCTCCTGCACACGGGATCTGCCAGAGTTCAGCGGCAAGTATGTATTTGCTGTGTCTGTCAGCATTAAAACTTTTTTTATTACTCTGACATTTTGCCATAACCGACCAAATAACCGTTTAAGAACTTTTGCATCGAAAATCTGCATATCATCTTATTGCTTTTGCACTTTTCACTTCATGACTTTTCCTGACAGTTATATGCATTTAATATTCTATTATTATTATTTATTTATTTGTATTTTGTTTGTTTCAAATAATACTTGTCGATACCTATTACTACCACAACCAGTCATTTAACTGGGAGAACAATTTATTGCTTTATAAGGTTATCGGATCAGAAATTACGATGTAATGCTTGTTCAGCATATTGCATTCCATGAGTTGCACATTTTTGCAAAGACTGTTGCGCAGTCAGTTCGATCAGGATAACTATGAATTCAAATTTCAAGAAAGTACCTAAAATTTTAGATTTGCATTTTTGTGTCAGAAAAAGTGACAAAAACTAAAAGTTTTGGTAAGTAGGTAGTTTATATTTTATTTTGATAGCTTTACTTCATTTCTAACTAACTGTTAGTTTTTACCCAGAAAAATGTTAAAACAATCAGGATAGCACAAGTTCTTAGAAGAAATAATATTAATTATAGGAATTCTTATATATTATAATTATAAGAATTATAGAAATAATAATGATTCAACGAAATATGTTTGCCGAAAATGTATAATGGAAACCCCCTGTATATGTAAAAAATGCTTTTAGCAATTAATTAAAAATTCATATTCTTTGTGTTTGTAGTGCATAAAAATTGGAAAGATGCAATTTTGTTTAATTATAAAGTTTTTTTTGTTTGTTTGTTTATTTAATACCTAACATCCATATTTTATACATTCAATTACGAAACAAAGTCCGATCATTTGACCAGCTATGGTAGAAATATGTATGCATTAGGTGTTGGTACATTTAGTGTTAAGGAAAAATACATATAATTTTCTAACGAAATTAATAATGAAGGTTTAGATCTTTAAAATTTTAACGTTTATGTTTGATATATTGCCATTTTTAAAACTAGAAATTCTTCTAATTATTAAAAGAGAAATTGACTTTTTAGAGTAACAGAAAATAAAAGATTTGATTAGATTAATATTAAAATGATTTGATGCTTAGAAAGCAAGACATTCCTTAGATTATAAAAAAAAAGAAATTAAATAAATTTTCAGCTCATTTTATCATTAGTGTATAACTTCTGAAACTGTTTTTCAGACAACATTATTGTTCATTTATTTCATAATTCTTCATTCTGAGCTTCTAATTAATTAACTTTCAGGTGTTTTCTTGAAAAAGAATTCTTCAGTGAGCATGATCAATGTTATATGATAATTCAGATATTCACAAATATTTAAATATGCTAGTACAGAGTGTGTAGCGTTTTTAAAAAGTTCTTAAAGGTGCTTGTTTTCATTTTTTAAAACCCCTTAAACGCGGTTTTTTGAATGGTTGTTTTTAAAAAGTGCTTGATTTTAGCTACGAATTATGCAAATAGACACAGTTCACATTGTTCTATTCAGCGTTTTCACAATTAATTCAATCCCAATCTATTTCAGCGTATTGTTAGTTCGTAGTGTATGAAATTCGTTTTACATGATTCATAATTTCATGATTTTTGACATGTCGGTTAAAACAATATAAAACCGTCAATTGTCGAAAACTTACCAACCCTGCCTAATTATATTTTTTAAAAGTGCTTAAAAATATTTTTTGAGTGCTTGTAAAGTGCTTACAAATTGCTTTTTTTTTTGTTGATTAATTTGGCTACGCACCCTGTAGTAGTAATTTTTATTGTCGGAAACAGTTCATTTTTTTTAAAAACAAAACTGAAGAAGTATTTTGAACTGAGTTAGTTTTAAGATAAACCAAATTCTAAAGCTTTAATTTTTTTTTTTAAATTTAATTTAAGTGTATAATTTTGTGTTTAAAGTAATTTTCATTTATACTTATATATACTTCAATGTTCAATGAATCTATGTAACACAAAATTCTACTGCATATTCTTCCTGTTTTTTTGGAAAAGAATTTATAAAAAAGTTTTGTGATTGAATTTAGGTGACTTCACTGCTGAGAAGAGTTCTCCCTGAAGTGAGTCCTCCCACTTTGGCCTCCATTCTGGACGTCCCCTCCCTCCCCCCAGCAGATTTCAGCATCATTTCAGAAGAGAGCAGCAAACAAGAAGAAGAAGAAGACAAGACGGGTATATTGGATGTCTTCCTCTCCTGCATAGCAAAAGCCATCACTGTACAGACCAAAGTGAAAGGAGGATCATCTTCCAGTGGAGGAGGAAAAGGTGTTACAACTGTCACATTAGCTACCTCTATTCATCCAAGGTGATCATCTCCATTCTCTTGCAAAAACTTATTGATTATGCTGAAATATAAGAATAATTAATTTGTGTAAAAAAAACTCTTTATTTAATAATTTCGTAGTTCAGATTTTTTCTTAGAAATACAGTCAAGCCCCATTATAGTGAACATGGTTAATAGTGAACTCCTTGATATAGTGAACGAAATGTTCACTCCTGTGTCTTGCTATACACATATAATATTATTTATCGTGGATATAGTGAAGAAGAGAGGAAATTAGATATTATGAGCGTTTTTCTCTCTTCGACTGATTTTTTTTTCTTCATTTTTTGGTAAATTTGAAATTTCTACTTAAACAGGTTGCCACTCCACAGGGAAACTCTGGAAAATACAGCAAATTTAAAAGCTACCTAAAAATGCTGGGAATTTTGATTTTTTTTCTTTGCAAACTGGAAAATACAGGGAATTTTGTTTCTTATTTTTGTCTTTTACAAAATGGTGATAACTCAAAGCGTATGTTAAGGGGATATATAATCATGATATTTCAGGTATACTAAACTATTTCATTCACTATAGCATTATTTAAGTATGTTCAGCTGTTTTTCCTGCAATTAAAACTAATAAATATAGTTAGCCCAATATAGTTCACACAAAAGCACAGTAATTATTATTTCGTCTTAATATATTGAGTATAAAATGTACAGGGTAAACGGGGAATTTTTTTTTCCAGATTTAAGTGGCAACCCTGATGAAATACATATAGCTCTTTTTAAAACCATCTATTGATTGGCATTGGTTAGATTGTAAATATATGTATTATAATATACAATTATATAATACATATATTTACAATATATAATTAACGTAATGGAGAAATTTAAGTTGCTACTATCCGTGGATTCAAGCCTTCAGCTGATTCAGCTCTTGCTAAATTCACTGAACCCAAAAGCCACTCTTCTTCTAATTCTTGCAGAGAATTTGTTACTTCACCATTTTTTTCTCCCATTTGGCTTAAAATTGCTATATTCTCTCCTGTTTTGGTTTTAATGTCATTTTTAGGCCTGTTAACAAAATCAAATCTCTTAACGATCCTCTTAGCTTTGATAATTCCTGCTGCATTTGCCACATTCCTTGTTGATGCAACCATTGGGGAACTGTTTTAAAATGTTTACTTGGGGGCAACAGGATAGATTTGTCTGTTATCAAGAATTCGAGAAATCTTCGATTGCTTCACATTGTTGGCATAAATTCAGTTTCACCAATACTAACTCATCCCAGTTGCTCATCTTGATGCCGTGGAATCTTCTTTTATTCATTTGAATGCTGATTTCCTAGTTAACATCAGTTCCGACACACCTCTCCATAACACCTGGAAATGCATTTGCCTCTCTGTCACAGTGATTTTTCTTGTTCTGTCTTCATATTTTTCTTCTTTCGGCCTCTGGCTTTTCGTGTTTTGTTTCTCAGCTTCATTTTTCGTTGGCCTCTTTCCATTTTTGCTTCTTTAATTCTTGTCTTGCAAAATGGGCACCTATTTCTTGATGCACTTGAAGCATATTGACTGTTTTTTCTTTCTGAAGTGAATGAAGTTTTCTATTGGGTTAATAGTATTGTTTATTTTGTGAATAATAGTATTGTTTATAATTGAAATAAAAAGCAATTAGAACAATTTATACTGGTCTTTAGAATAGATTTATTTTAAAAAAGTATTTTTAAAATCAGTTTAACTAATTGGAATATTTGTTTCAAAAGAGACGACATTGGTAGTCGATGGTGGCTCAGGGGCTGTATGTCACGCAAACTTGCTGAAGTTATTATTCAACTGCTAAAGGACATGGCAGCTGTAAGTGTGCTTTTATCTTTAAATTTGTAATGGTAGTATTTAACAAATCTTTAATTATTTATTTGTGGCTGTCTCTTAGGGAAAGTTGACTGAAGCTTGGGCTAACATTACAAAGAGTGCTGTTGCTGAAAATATTTTGAATTTGACAAAACTTGAGGAACAACATCGATCTCCAACTGAATGCTTGAAAACACCAACGGTTAGTTGACTTAACTTTTCTAAAAATGCCCTCCTAAAGCTTACATTATTGTTTTATGTAATAAACACCATATATTTCTTTCATTGGTTCGTTATTTAGCGGATATCTAAAGACGACAGAAAAGGACACAACATTGCCATTAAAATTTTTACTTTTTTTTCCATTTATCGCAAAGTTGATTCTTGTTCAATGAGAAAAATGATGGTGCTAATCATTCTATTATTACTCAGATCATTATAAAAACAAGTTTTATTCCAGAATTGTTTTAGCAACCCTCTATTGCTTGTGGCTAATTTTTATTCCCTATAGTCATAGGCTATGCGTCAAATCGGTTTGCACCTTCTTTAATCGTATTTTAGTGGTTCTATATCTACTCTAATGTTATATGCAGTCAGAAAAATGACAAGGTGCGAAGTTCAGATTATCACTCTAATCTAGATGAGGCTTCCCAAGGTCCTTAAAAAACTGCTTCATTTGTATTTTAGAAAATAAAGGCCTTTAAAAGTACTTAATTTTGGTATTAGGTTTTTGAAGGTCCTTAATTTTTTAGCATCACTATAGTTGATAGGAACAATATTTATTTTAAATTTATTAAAGCAAAAAGTCCTTTTATTACCTAGAATTAGACCATGCATCAAGGGTAGAGCATTTTAGAGAGACAAGAAGTGTGTGAGGGGGGGCTACAGACAAGAGAAAGAAAGATTGTCCTTTCATTTATATAGTGGTTATTTCATTAATATATTCTGCCTTTGGGCTAGAATGATACTCTGTGAGGAGAGTGAAGCATTCTAAAAGAAAGGAAAAGAGTGTGGACAAGGAGATACTGTGCATGGAAATGATGGTGCCTTTCTTGAGGGGGGGTGGCAGTTCTAAAGAACCTAAATAGAAGATTCCCACTGGCCTTCAAAATCAACAGAATTCAAGAAATTCAGTTCTACTGGTAGTGCATTAGCTTATAGGAATTAAGTAAACCCCTAGGAAAAGAACTATTAGAAAAAAGTTTTTAGCTAGTAATCCATAACGAAAACAGTTGCCAAAAATCTTAAGAAACTAAATAAATTTGTATGATATTTCAATGTGTAAGTAATTGTGAATTTGTAAACATCAGTTACATGTTTTTAAAATTCACGATTGTTATACTAAAAATTAAACAGATCTGTAATAAACAAGGTTTGAAAAATCTCAGCCCATCTAGGTTTTTCATTAAAAACCCTAGGTCTATTAGAATCAAATTCAAACTTCATAATAATTATTTTATTCAGTTAACATTGTAACTTAACACACTGTTTTTCTTTATTATTATCCTTTTTTTTTTATTTATTTTACTTTTGGTTGCTTTGAAATTAGTTCATGTTTTTCACCAGATTGTTTAGTAATATTATGTAAAGTTAATTCCTAATAAAAGTTTCGGCTGGAAATAATTTTATGTAAAGCTCATCATAAAAGTAAATATAACACAATTTTTGTTTAGTAATAATTTCAAAATGGTTATTGAAGTGACCTCCTATTGTATCTTTATCTTAACTGAAAAACGAAAATTCTAATTTAGCTGATGAAATATTTCTCAAAAATAAAAAAATTTGTTTCATTTCTTTATGCAATCAGGCAGGGATGAAAAACAACAAATATCCATTTAAACGGGAACGTTTAACATTAGTTTCATATAAAATGATTTGGTTCCATTAAATTTTATTCGTCTATATTCAATACGCAATTGAGTGGCTGTATATCGAACTTTAATAACTGATTTATGTTTTGTAGCTGTGGCTGGCATTAGCCTCTTTGTGTGTGCTCGATCAAGAACATGTTGAACGTCTCTCTTCTGGACAATGGGTTGGATCTAAGAATGCTGGTGATGGACAACAATCTCAACCTAGAGTAAGATTTTTATTTTGCTATCACAAACTATTTTAAATTAGTTTTAAACGTTTATCAAAATATAATTTTTTTTAATATTGCGACCTATCTAGTTTTTGATTTTGAAAAATATATATATTTTCCAAGTGCTTCTTTATTTTTTCATATTACATGGTGCGTAGCATTTTGGAAAAGTGCTTAAATGTGCTTATTTTCGTTTTTTAAAGGCCCTTTATTCTATACATCATTAAAGCATTGTGATTCGTATGTCTGACCACAATTCATATTTACACAATTTTGAAATGTAACATCGTGATGCGTTTTCATACGATTTAAAAACATCTCAATTATATTTTTTTGTCAATCAAGAACTGACATAGAACTAAAAAAATAATAAAATGGAATTTTAAAAACAAGTAGACTGAAAACAAGAAATTTAGTTTTGTCAAACTTGAAAAGGAAAATAAAGAAAAGAGGATAGAAGCAGGCAAAATGAAAAGAAGAACTTTCAACTCAAATGAAAATGAGTGCATAGAAGATTACATAGGAGAAAAGTTGTACAGAGTCTGGAATAATTTTTGGACTATACTTAGCCTAATATTAATACATACATACATAATATAATAAAGTATGCTTCATAAATTACTACAAAGCAATCAATAATCACTTTGTTTAAGTTTTATTCTATTGTCAATGTGACTATGTTTTCCAAGTGAGTATTAATGCGCTATCAAATTAAGATTATTTTGTAGTACATTCCATTTCTACAGATTGAAACTATTCTATAAAGTTTGGTGAAGGACTTTTAATTGCTATTTTGTAGAAATGTGGTTTTTTTTAGGAAATTAAATGACAAATTTTGACTTTATTTTTCTTTTTTAACTCAATTTTCTATTTTATTAATTATAACATTGAATACAATGAAAAAAACCACGTAAATAATATACTTATCAATTTTTAAGTAAAGATATGGGACAAAATTATCCAAATCACCATTAACTGATGCCTTCCAGAAGAATCTTACCAAAAAAATGTTTTAAGGAAATGTCTTTAAGCAAAAAAGCTTTTGTGAAAGAAAGTGTTTCAAAGTTACTAATACACCAAAAGCTAAATGAATTGCATCTACATTTAACATTTTAACCAAACTTGTGTTAAATTTTTTTTTTTTTACATTTACACCCCAAGGGCTTTAACGTATTACACAGTTGTCACTCCGTAGGAAGAACGGGGAATTTAAAAATCACCTAAAATGCAGAGAATTTTGAGTTTTTCTTTAGAAACTGGCAAAACACAGGGAATTTTGTGTCTTATTTTCGTCTTTTTAAAAATGATAACCTCTCAAAGTGCAATCTTTCTTTCCTTCCAGGCGCGGATACGTGCATAGGTTAGTGAAACCCTTACCCGTATAATCCGCGTCTGGCAACTACTTCCAGCCAACCTCAATTAATTATTTAAAGTTTCAAAAGAAAGGAGGTTAAAATTTTGTTTACAAATATACAGAAAATTAATTTGTTTACAAATAGACAGAAATATTAATTTGTTTACAAATAGACAGAAATATTAATTATTGTTTAAACAATATATATATGACCTATAGAAAGTGACAATAAATGAATTTTGGAAAGTAAATTAATAGAAAGAGGAAGAAAAAAAAAGGTAATAAAAAAAAAATATATATGTATATATATATATTTAGTTCTCCATTAAAATTTTGATTTATAGGTATTAAATAATAAAAGAAAGTAATTAAAATGTTATAATAATAAAAAAAAGTTAAATAGAAAAGATATGTACAGTATTTACAACATATAGGTAGGCATTCCAAAATATATAATAATTTTTTTTATATTTAAAATTTTAGAATATTATCATTATCAGAAAGAAAATTCATCACTAATAATAATTTGGTTTTATGAATTGTTTAGTTATGAATGTTACTGTTTGGTTAGTTATGAATTGTTTTTGCCAAGTTGGTAGATAAGTGATACTCAATGCACGAGTATGCCATGAAGCTGTATAGATGCATTCCGTAATATAGTGTTCTGGTGTGCCCAGAAGGCCGCAGGTGCAGTGATCATTATCTGAGATGTTTAGATATTTAAAATAACATGGAAAAGGACCATGCCCAGTTAGAAACGAGATTTCTTGTTTTGATGGTATCATCTTAAAATAATCTACTTTATTAATAATTTTATATAATCTTCTTCCCTTATCTGAATTGTTCCAATAATTTTGCCAAATTTGTGATACAGAGTTCTGAAGTTGATTCTTAAGATGTGAGATCGGGAAGGGATATGAGTAATTTTGTTGTTTAGTTGTCGATAATTTAGCTAGGGCATCTGCATTTTCATTACCTGTTCTGTCATCATGTGCTTTAATCCATGAGATAAATATATTTGTATTAAGGAGTAATTTTTGTATTTTAGCCGAGAGTGAATTTTTCGTGCCTGGGTTGATTATAGAGTATAATACTGCTTTAGAATCCGACCAGATTGTATATTTTTTAGATGCCTTAAATGAAGTCTGTGATTTGATGAATCTAATGCATTCTAAAATAGCAAGTTGTTCAGCTTGAAAGACTGAGTTGTTATTATTAATTGTGTAATGATTAGAATGATTTATGTTGAAGAATGCAAAACCAGTTCCAGTATTTGTTTT